AAATCGCAACGCCAAGCAGAACGTCAACAACTCAAAAATCAGCACTCGAAATCTCAGTTTTGTTTGTTGGCAAGCCAACAGCAGTCTCAAACGCATCTGTTGAAATCGCAACTTTTGACATTTCAACATCAATAATATGAGTAGCAAGAACGATCACTCCTTCAATTCAGCACTTGAACTATCAAATTTAGAAACGAGATTCACGAATTTTAGAGTTGGAAGGTGAAACGGAGAGTCTGCCCGCAAGCGGTGCCGCACTGGTCCAACTTTGAAACATGATTCACAAAACTGATTAACATGTACGAATCTCTTAGACACTAGTGAACTAGAATTTGGTAGCTTTTGGAATGCGCGGTGTTTAAAGTGTGTTTTAGGTATGTGTTTCTGCCTCAGTGGACGTTGTGTACATTCCCACTAGAAGATCCTTCCAAGTTCGTGTACTGTATGGTGCCCCGTGCAATATATCACAACCCAAAATCACCAGCTTTTCAAATATGTGACCAGTGCATGGGATATCCCTGCACTCCAGAAACATTGTTTTGGCACAACCTAGAGGCTTTCCAACAACTACGAGTGGATTGCTGTCCGAGTTTAGATGCGTGCATAATGTGATGCCACACGTTGGCTCTTACATCAAGTTGAATACAGTAGTGGAGATTTTAAAACTGGAGAGTCGTAGACCAAGACGTTATGATGCCAGAACAAATACTATTCGGCAAACTAACTTCTGCATAAAAGATGCATACACCACTGGATAAGGTGAACATTGCGCTTGTTTGAGTGGAAAATTACAATTTAGAGTGCAAGCTCAGTAGAATGATGCATTAACACATTCTAGAGATAAAGAAACTAAAGCCAAAACATAGATGAGCCGGCTCAGATTACTGACTTGGGTCCGATTTGCTTTGACACTAAATTTATTGTATCTTATGTGATATCTAATTTAGTACTTTGTGCGGAGTGTGCAGTATACTAACCAAGTGATCCAAGATAGCTCCTCGTCATCAGTGTATTGCAATATGCTCTGGATGGATGACACAAATCACCAACACAATCCGAGAACACAAGACTTAACCCAGCAAGTATGGGTGCAATTCAAAAGAATTGATCACAATGCCATGTACACATAAACTCTCCTTGAATTGATCAAGACACATCCTATGCAGCATAGGTACTGTGGAGCGTATCCAGTTGGCAGCACTAGGATTATTGTGGACTTACGTTGACACCTTTTGACAAACCAAAACTTTTGCTACGAGGAACATATCTAACAGCACTTTTGGTAAATGATTATACGCACGATATGCATCCAAGCACATTATCTTTGATATCCTTGAAGATCTTTTTCTTCACCTACACAAGTCCAACATTGACACAAATCAGCATCACTATGTTGCAGATATCTCAATGCAGGTGAAACATTTATAAACTCCTCGACTTGGTGAGAAGTATTAGGATTCAAAAAAGTGGTGATCACACTCACATCGCCTTTCTTTGGCAGTGGCTTCCATTCTGCACCCTTGTTCTTGGCAACCATGCGCTCCTTGATAGCCCCATCTTCATTCCTCTTCTTGGCACATGGATTCCCCTGTTGCAACAAGAAGAAACAACAGACTCAGAACTAGAACCTGCCTCTTCATTCTTCACAAAATCCATGACATCCATGTGGCAATTTACACACCGTAACTGGAATGGCTGAAACTTTACCTCCTACAAATCACTCACCGTGGCACGATCTTGCTCCAATTTTTCGGAGTTCCCCTTCATCGCCATGTTCCAACCAGCGACTAGTGAGTAGTATCCATAGGCTCTGCTGTGGAGATATGATGATTTCAATCAACCAAAGAAGTTTGTACCCAAAGTGAGAAGGCGACGATGACCATCCTTTGATAATGGTACGCTGAGAATGGTGTGGGGTTGACAAGCAAGTGCGAGCTTAAATACGAAATTGAGTGAGTTCAGCGAGGAAATGAGGCAGGGTGGAGAGGTGGATCGAGTTTAAGGGTGGAGGTGGGTGTGGAGCTCAAGGGTGGGAAGGCACGGCGAGTGCGGTATCAGAAAACTTAGTGGTCGGTGGAAGGGAGTGGAGTCCTGATAACATAGGCGTGTTTGTGGGATGGGAGCGATGCTTTTTTATGAAAAACGAATCTTGTCAGGTTTGGCGACTTCTCTGCAGTTGGGAGGAGGTAGGGTATCTACCAGATCCATTGCATGCAACAATCCAGCATTGATATCCAGAGATACCTTGCGATCAATCCTCAGGATACCACCGTGCAACCATTGTGATACCATGGTGCTACGTTCCCAGTATCCATGGCCCTCACACTGAAATTAGTGGCAGCATACTCCCAGTACGAGGTGACTTATTTCCAAGTTAATGATTTCAATTTGAATAAGTTGCTAACGCTTATCCTCTGAACGTGTTGCAAGCTCATCAAACTATATGAAGCTCATAAAACTATTACGAGATTTAGCCAGAATAATAAATCACTGGATGGGAGGATGGAAGGGGATGGAATCATTTGTGAAGGATGGGAGGATGGAAGGTCGTCACAGATGGTGGTCAGGAGTGCGTTTTATGTGCGGATAGGAAGGGACTGAGATACAGCATTGGTAAAATCAACCCATGAATTTAAAAACATTCACGTTGTATTAGAAGTTCCTTGGAAGTTCATCTCTCAGGGGTGGGAGGTGGGGTCCGGGGTTGCTCAAGATGGACATTGAGGTTCACTCTGTACGGGTGGAGTGGGATGAAGTGGGATGGTTTGGTGGGGTCGAGTGCCTCGAGATGAGTCTTACTGTCCACACCGTCGTTCGCTGTAGACATAAGTGCGACACTCTGACGTCAATGTAAGTTCGTAAGAATCTGAAAAAAAATGATAAATTGGTAAGTTACGTAGAACGTTTTTATCTGTATTCCAAAGCATCCCCTCACCTGCCCGAGCACAGGTGCGTGCACAAAATCACAAAATTTATGAAGTGGTTTTTCTTTTGGTTTCCATCCTTGATACGCAATTTTGTGAATGAAACACGGAGTAGGCACAAGTCATGTAGCCTGTGGATGTAGTGGTAGAGGTTTAGAGTTTTCACGTGTGTGTATTGCATCTTTGACACATTTCATATGCGAAATTTACAAGCATCATGGAAAAGCGTTGAAATTTAATAGGAATGTGATTTGAAATAAATTGGATGCGGTTTGAGCTCTAATCATTTGATTTCCTTCAATCAACCCGAAGCAAAATTGGAGGAGGTTGGAGGAGGTTGGAACGAAGGTTATTGATGCACAATTGCTTTCTATTGTTTCTATTGATTGTATTCTTATTTTTGTTTGTATTATTTTTTTAATATTAATAACCAAGAAAATTGTTAAAATAAGTAAATTAAAAGTATACCTCACTTTGTTGCATAAAACATGAGTCAAATTTTAATTACATGAGTATAAATTCATCATAGATTTGAATGTTTTTGCAACTTGTAGGTGGTAATTGATTGAAAGAGGTGTATTACTCTACACACAACTATACATGGAATACTACTAACCTAATTGATGTAATTTCAAATTTATAGTTTGTTTAATAGCACCTTGAATAAAATAACAGGCATTTTTGTCTTAATAAATATCACCAAATCAAGGAAGAACTTTGTAATAGTAAAACTATCTCAAAATCTGATTTTGTATCAATATATTCATTTTTCACATGTAGTTAATTAATCTTTTTGCATTCAATTTTAAAACAATTACTGAATATTTACTTTAAACGTCGAAGTTCTCTCATTTTTTTTTTCTCAATATTTTTCTTAACAAATAAACCAAAACTCTTTTATTTGAAGAATAATAAATTATTAAAAAGATTGTACATTGTTGACTATTACTAAAGCTTATTTAAAAACTAATAACAAGAACCATGAACTCTTTCTAAATGGCCACATTTGAAATCTGAAAAGATACAAGTCATCCAATTTTGAAAGTTCATAAACATAATTCATATTCAATCTAAATTATTGGCTATAAATTTTTGAATATTTCAAAAAAAGTTTAACTTTTTAGTAAATAGCCTCTTACATTTCAAAAGTAATCAAATTAGTTGATTACTAGTTATTGTGAGGAACAACTATGCATTTCAATTGTTATTATTCTAACAATATAACATGGTGTAATTGAATAAATTACTTCACTGGTACTACATTCTTTTAATTACTACTTTTCAATTATATATAATTTTCAACAACCTTGCAAGCATGATTATATCACATTCCGTGACATGGAAAGTTGAACAATATAATTATGTAATCAAAGAATGTAAGGATGCATTAAAGAAAGAAAGACAGAATAGAACATACATACAAAAACAGAAACAAACATACAAGGAAGAATGACCAACATGCTTGCCAGGGCTGATGCATAAAACAACTGTTAAGTTTTGGGATAAGCTTTTGCTAATATGCTTTAACTGCAATGGCAATAACTACGACACTTACAAGAGAAGCTGGTTAGGAAATAAAGCGTCGATATCGGCGAGTCGCACAGGTGGCCAGAGCAAGCGATGTCCACGTCACACACGGTAACACACGTCTCTGCGAGATGAACTGCTAAACAACTGCCAAGTTAGCGTGAATATTGTTGATTGACCAAGGAACGGAGTATTGTAACTTTGTTAACGATAAAGCATTTCAAGTTCCTCGTGGACAGTAAGAAAAATCTCGGGGCACCGACCCCACCACTCCACCTACTCCAGCCTGTCCACCTGGGTGAATGCTATTCAACACAGACTGATCCTCAACGACCTCGTCAATCCACCGTAGCCCTCACCTCCCACACCCTTGAGAACTTCTAATAACAGGTGAATTTAACTCGTTTGTCTTTAATGCTTTATTTCCGATACCACCGCAGAGGGTTCGATACTGTGTATGTTTGGCAGACTGCGCCTTTACTTGTCAGTCTTCCTTGTGAGTCTCGTTCGATTGGTAGCTCTTCTCGCAGATACGTAATTGGTATCTCTGCTTCCTCCGCTGTAGGCCTGAAGTGAGTCCCAATGAGGGAGACCAATGTGATCGATCGTTATTCTTACCGCAAAAGAACAGTGTATTTTCTAGCAAGGATCGAAGTAGGGTACGTGTGTGTTTATGTTGGGTGTGTGTTGTAGAGTTTCTTTTTGAGCCGGTAATCATGCCAGATATAATAGATTTTTTTCGCCAAAAGCCGGTAATTTGGCCAGATTTAGTCGATTCTTTGTATTTTGATGGCATCTTTTATATTCAAGATTTTGATGAGTATTGGAAAGGACTTAAGATCTGGGCAGAGATATCACGGGTAGTAGACGAGCTGTACCAGCCCGATCTTTGCACCGGTGCAAGAGCTTTGCAGCACGATCTGGATAGAACGTTTCGAAAGTGTCGACCTATACTCTATGGTGAAGGGTGCGAGGAAAGTCATCGAGCTGTGGAAACGATTTCAGATTTTTCGGCAGAGAGGTATTCATTGTTTAAAGAGTTAAGATCTGCAAAAGAGCTTAAAGGTTTGACGTTGAAGTATAAACAAATCTTAGACTATGTCATCACCGACAGTACGACAGATGGTGTTAGAACACCTTGTAAGTTTTTTCACTTCTCCTTTTCCGAGAGTTTTCGCTTATCTGTACGAAATGCCATGTACTCTCAAAGTTGGGAGGTCGTGGAAAGTCTCATCTTGCCTATTGCGTTCGTTGCTCTTGTTAGAGCAGCTGCAATATATTCTGCTATCGTCGTTTTAGCAGTTCAACTTGTGTCAATGGTATTCCGGTACCTGATCGGTCCCATTGACAGGGGTGGGGGTAAAGAATATTCATCTGGGTCGTTAGAATTTAGGTCCACATATATTTCCATTGTGTTGTACCATGGCTCCTACATATGGATCAAGTTTAGAGACGTTGCTCAAGAGTCAAGCAAGCGTCCCGGTGAAGGACTGTTTCGAAGGATCCGAGAGAACGAGTCGGGCGAGCGGGTGTATTATGGTAATTTTGAGCCCCGAATGAAACCGCCGGGTTCAGGGACATACATCGCTGTTGGCACTTATGAAAACGAAAAGGATGCGGATACTGTGTATAAGATACTTGCGTTCTGGTGTGGCAAGGACGGTTATCAAGGCTAGATTCCTCTGCTAGAAGGATCCACTTATCGTATTTCAGCTATGGCCGAGGTAGAGCAGTGCATCGGTCCGGTGCAGGACAGGTACCGGATCAAGCGTTGTGTGCGATATGTCCTTTCAAAATACCAAGAACAGTTCAAAGCTGCAACAGATGAGCAGGATCTACTTTTTGGTGAGATATTTCGTGCACTTGCCGATGGATCGTCTGCTGCGGATGCAAGAGAAAATGTCGCGAGTGGGGGAAATGAGGTACAAGCCGAGGAAACTCAACCATCACAGCTAGGAATCCAGGGCGGGGACTTGGTACAAGAGGCACCTCCAAGTTATGCAACAGATGCAGAACTAGGATTAGAATCGCTGGACAATATGTTACTAGACACACGTGGTGGTAACGTAGGTGGTGTTTTCTCTAACTCCACTCTGGCCAACATGTCACATGACATACTTGGTGGTAACGTAGGTGGTGATACCCTCGACTTCACTCTGATTGGAGCTACTTCCAACACAGCTGCATGTGGAACTGGAGCATCGAATGCACAGCCCAGAGAACTTGAGCAGACAAGACCATTGCAAGAGAATCAGGTGAACGACTCAGCAATCAACATGGTTTGTGGCGACCTCGCCCTTCGAGGACTGGTGGAAGAGTTGCAACGGAAGGAGACAGAATCGCAATTCGAAATTCAGCAATTGAAATCTCAATTGACAAGCCAGCGACTGGATGAACGACGTGAAATTCACCAGCTCCAGACTCAAATGAGGCAAGTGGAATCTCAAAATTCTTTGCTGAGAAGCCAGCAACAGGATCAACAACGTGTAATTCACCAGATGCAGTCTCAAATGCAACAGCTGAGATCTCGATTTTCATCGTTACAACACCAACAGTATGAGCAGCAAGAACCATCAAACACTCAAATTATGTCCATGCTCTTTCGGATTTACGGGCAGAATTCACGACTTCTAGAGCTGGACGGTGAAACGGAGACACATGGAAGCGAAGAGCATGCTCGAAAGCGGCGCCGCACCGGTCAAACCTCGAGGCAGGATTCACGAAACTAATGATAAATAGTAGTAATAATGATCTTGTGCAATTACATTCCAATTCTTCAGAAAAATTTTGTAAAATAAAATAAAATAAAATAAAATAAATGGTTCATTGAAGAAAACATTTTTGTGTCATTTTAAGAAATGCTTTTAAGTTGTTGAATATTAAATTGATGCTAAAAGTGAATTACTATCTTAACATTTTTTTGAGCTCCTAAATTACAATGTTTTGTGAATATCTACCTCGGCCATAGCTGTAATACGATAAGTGGATCATTGTGAATTTCTATTTTTAAAATATTGTTTTAGCTTCTTCTCTTTATCATTGGTTCTGTGTAACAGAATACAATATTGCAGTGAACACTCAAAAATTATTGATGTAATCTATCTTTTGCTGGAAATATATGTGTACATATATACAATATTTTTAGTAGATTAAATATTAAAAATTAGACATACTTTGTATAATTATAGTATATGTCCAATATGTAATATTGGTCTTTCTGGTATTTATTAAATATACACATATTTTTATAATACTAAATCTGTAATTGTGAGTCTGAATTCAAAACCATGCATCACATCTATATTTATAAATAGAAGTTATAATAAAATTATTTCTATAATTACAAGTATTACAAATATTTTTACTACAAATAGAAAGTCAAAAATAGAATCAGTAATAGACACAATCTTGTAGTGAATCTAATATAGTGTTTTTTTATATTTTTATATGTTTATAACATAGAATCAAATACTTGATAATAATATTAGTAAGATATTTAACAAATTCTTTGGAATAAAATATTTTAAATATTTTAAATTGTTTGTTCAACATAACAAATTTCTAATATTCTTAATATATAGGATTACTTTTAGATTGAAATTTTAATAACCCTATGATTTTACTAATTATTCTCACTATTACCAACCATCATGATACTAAATAAAAACAAAAGATTTAGAACTTATTAATTCACCAAAAGTCATACAATACAAAATATCATACAAATTTTCTAATTGTAAAAGATTCACATATTGTAACATACAAATTTTTATAGACAATATACCACTAAGATTTAAAAGACACAAAATCACAAAGTTTTTATTAACAGGTGTATATCAATGGACCATATGGGTCCAAAATATGCCATTGTTTTTAAAGAGAAAATCTGGAATGACCAGCATACACAACACACCATATAAGTTGGCCATAAATATGGATGGCTTTGTTGAAAGACACAAAGAAAGTAGGGAGAAAAAAAAAGACAGAAAAAAACCCAAATCCAAACTAGAAGCAATTCTTGTTGATAGGTGCAATAATCCTCATATAATAAATAACAGTGTTAGAACAAGAGAAGATAACAATGTCAAATGGCAGTTTAATTGTTAACAGAGTGGTTTAAATGTTCACACACTGGATGCAGAATGACTAGATAGGTAAGTTGTAAATATACACTTTCATTTTTTGTTGTTCTTCTAATTTCACTGTATAATACGGGTATCAGAGTATAAAATGGAATGTTCCTCTCCCCCTCCCCCTTTCTCAATCAACACCATTGTGATAAGCGTTAAAACAAAAAAACAAGAACAGAAATCATAGACTGTGATATTCAATTCCCTTGTCTATGAGATCAGGCCCAGCATGATAAGGTCTGAGTCATTCAATGTATTACCTTCACTAGGTGTGAGATTTTTGAGGAAAAGCGGCGAAGATAGTTGCTGCCATTCTCTGGAGCATTAGATTCCGTGCGCTCATTGCCTGTCTCTTGCAGTGCTGCACCTCACGGTGACGCCAGTGCATCTATCACCTCCATGTCGTCAAAATAGAATTTTGTCCCAGCAAAAGAGAATCAGAAAAACCTGCAACCAAGTGCCACATCTAGAGTCCCACGCGAACCAGGCTTCTCTATTCGTTGTACTGGAAGGGAAATGGGAATGCTGGAGATGGTCGACGCCGCTCGAACTCACTCACTCACTCACTCACGGCACGTGCAAGCAGCTGCTCGGATTAGAAGACGGAGTGGAGCATGTTATACAGTGATAGTCTGTGCACATGACCTGCGGTTTCTACAATGCTGCTGCTGCCATTCAGGGACACTGAATATGTAGATGCACGTGTTGCCATTCTCGGACGACTCGACTGAAAGCCTACCCAGCTGGGTTGTGCCGTAACCAAGGCGACGAAATGCTGCCCCAGGACCTACACCGCGACTGATGAACTGGGTTGCTTGCCAAACTGGTTGAGAGGTTTGGGATCGTTTCAGCACAGTCAAGGATTTGGCAACGATGCCGACTGTTCTGAAGAAGACCATCAGAGACCGGTCAAAACAGTTCGCAATGCTTGCCTGGGTAATGAAAGAAGAGAAGAGAGAGACAAGGGAAATAAAATCTTTAAAAGAAAAGAAAAGAAAATTGCAGCTTAAGTGCAAAAATCGACGCTGATTCAGTGAACATTTACTTTCCAAGTTATAGGCCACTAATTACGAGCTCACAAGTTACGCGCCACAAATACAGTGAACATATACTTTCCAACCACTCCTAAGAAGTTTCATTTATTCCCAAATTAACGCCAGATAGACAACTGCAAACAGTTGTATTGTGTAGAACTCTGCAGGGAATAGAAATAAAATAACAGATAAAGCTAAGCCTTGATGACTACCTACATCATATCTCTATTGAATCCGAGGGCTACACCGTTACTGACTCGAGCAGACTAGTGTACCGCACATAACTACTGTCCTTCATCTACCAGGAGTGACTGGGAGTATAAGGGTGATCTCACGCTGTGGATCCTGTTCTAGGTCGAAGCTCTCGTTAAAACCCGATGAGAGTGCACTTCCAAAGACCCACACACTCAATTCTGCCTCTCAACTAAGAGAGTGCGAAGAGAAGGGGAGGACACCGGTCAAAACAAGACCACTTTTGTAGCATCTCTTCACCCTGTGGAGTGGTTGTCCTACGGCAGGACTGGACTCCTGGAGGACTACGTTTTTAGTTCACCAGCCTTGATCGGATCTGCTCCTCGAGTGTACTCCATCCATCGGTTCGACTTCATACAGAAACACTGGGCAGGGAAGATCTATTCTCTGGCAGCTATGTTCGAAGAAAAACCAAATCTGTTGGGGATACTAGACTGGATCATGGACACTCCTTCAGGGTCAGCTTGCTTGGTCATCTTGTGCTGTTGGTACCACTTCGTCCTCTCTGTTGCAATAAGACCAATCCACATCAGTGCATAAAACTATCGTGCTACTGTTATGCATCTGCAATTGGCACACCACAGACAGAGACAGCACAGTCGCAAATAGGGGGGAAATTCAACAGTAGTGAACAGAAAGCCTCATAACCAGTTGCCTACTTCGACGCCTTCCCGGTTCCGACAAACTCTCTTGTCAACCAGGCCTACTAGCACAATACAGAACCAATGCTCAGAAGCAAAAAAGTTACGTGCTAGCTTGGGTCAACTTGGGGATCAATTCAATAACAAGAGTTGATAGCTGACAACAATAGACTTCCACACCAACAAAATTAATGAATAATTATAAGCAAAATGATGATCATGATCTCAAATTCAACTCACGTGATCCCTCCGTATTCGCTAAATACCTAGGTCTAGCAGTTTGTTGTCTGCCTATCCAAACTCAGGAAACCCTCTTCGAGGATTCCCCTGAATATATGGAACTGTGGTAGCGAATACAAATCAACTGGAGAAAGCTGAACTGGAAAAAAGGGGGACCAGGGAGCCACTGCAAATGGTGGTCAAAACTTGACAAAAAATAAAGAAGAATATTACAGCGACAGACTTCAATTAATTGACGAATACGAGTGACGACGATCGCCTCTAGGAGACATACTCTGTCTGATGATATTATCAAGAGACATACCAACGAGCTGATGGGGAAGGTTGAAATTGTAGTCCTCTTGAGCTTTTCTCCTCTGAATGTAGACATAAGCCCCACCCACGATTATGGCGGCAGCTAACAGCACCCCTATTATCAAAACTGCTTTGGCTGCAGGCGACATGCCCTCATGCTTCCACTTGTAAGGGCAGTCTGGTAGTGACGGCACTCCACAAAGCCCTTGATTATCTGCCAAATTCACGTAGCCACCATGGACTCCAATGGCATAGACAGACTCCGGCACAGGCCCAGCTAATCGGTTGTTGTTAAGCCGTCTGCAATCAGCAACCAAAGGGTGAACAACACGTAAAAGTAAAGATATCAGAGCCAAACGACAACAATGATGTTGCAACAGTAAATAAGAAGAGATGATACTTACAAATGTTGCATTCGCGGAGAACCCATAGAGGGGGGGATCGGACCCTCAAGAGCGTTGAAGGATAGGTCTCTGTACAAACGATAATTTAGGGCTTCAGTAATTAACTTCGTAGGTGATGGTCTGTTAACAAGACCTGCTACAACGTAAGCAACAATGAGCTTCATTCCGGGTACTGAGAAAGCTTACAGAGAAACCAGACTGCCTTCTCCAAACGTGGCAGGGAAAGGACCAGAGATTTTGTTACTGCTCGCATTTCTGCAGATCAAGAGAAACAGCCACAACTAAGCTTACTCATATTGTTCAGTCCCGTTAAAAAATGACATGTAATACTACTCACGACTGGCACCACACTTGATACTCATCTGAGTCAATGATTGATCACCATAATTAACCCTGACTTAGAGGAACCAAAAGTTGAACAAATGCGGAGGAAAACAGCAGTGTCTTACAGCGATATCAGATGAGAGAGATAAGTAAGCTCAGGTGGAAGAACGCCCGACAGCCCTTGGTCAGCAATGTTCCTAAACAAAAGATGTCATTCGTTTAGTCAGGTAAAAATTCAGCAAATAGATGAAACTAGAGACTTTGCCAGTGTGCCAATACTGCAAACAATTCACAGGACACAAACCAGAAAATGCGCCAAACCCACTACAGAGCTACTGAGATGAGATTAGCTCACATGTGAGTGATCACAAGAGAAGAGCCGTCCGCTGCAAGGTTGCAAGTAACTCCTTCCCACGCATCCCACTCTGTGGGCGCACAAGGATCCCCGTTCCATCCCATCCTTTCAGGCACATTCAATGAGGTCTTCAATGCGTGCATTGCCGTAGCTGTTCAAGGGAAAAAGAACATATCGAAGTTAGTTCGGCACTACCCTAGGAAGAAAAAAAAAAAAAAAAAAAAAGATGAGCATGTGACTGCTGTAAGCGGTTTCACCACAACCTACTGAGGAAAAAAAAACAAAAAGGGTAGTCGCTTCAAGGAAGGATTGGTAAACAAGACCTTCAGTAACATTGGTCGCGATGTCTGCCTGCAGTACAGCAATGACCTCAATCCCGCAGATCAAAGGACTCCCAACCTGTGGAACGAGAGATATCACGAGAGATCCTCCGGTCAAGTTCCTGAGGGTGTAAGCAAAGTCGAAGGCAGTATCTAGCCCCACCTTCTGGAAGAGGTCCAACCCAGCGAGCACCACTACATTGTTCACGGTGACGTTGAACACTCGCTGCCCTGCTGCTGTGACGTTAGGATCAATCTCCGCGAAGTGGAACCATATCTGATAGTCCAGTTTAGCATCCACCAGATAACTGTAGATAATGGGGACATTCGGTAGCTGCTCATACCGACATGTTTCGTAGAGCTTCTCTGGCCAGTAATTCGGCTCTACATTGGCCCCGACAACGTTGCGAGTAGACGTCAAAAGAGCCTTCACATTGTTGGTATAGGTGTCGTCCGCTTCCCAGGAGCGACCTCCGAAGTCGGTCACATTGTCATACCCAGGGCCGAAGGAGCTATTCCCTGCAGAGATTCTACCATAGTTCACCAATATGGCATTCTGTCCGGTGGAACTGGCATTATATGCAGCGTCATCAACTTGGAGAAGCTCAAGGGAGCCGATCACAGGGGCGTCAGTTCCAATGCTGTAGAAACAAATGGTTGCAGATCCGTCGTGGATAAAGGCGTAAAGGTCCGAGTATGCCCCATAGTTGTCCGAATCGTCAGACCAGGGGAAGCGCCAGTTGAACACGACGGTGCCCTCTACGGAGACGTCGAAGCTCGGGGAGTGGCTCATATTGTCGTAGTTGTTGTAAGCGAAGAACATCTGGATCATGTAGCGGCCGACAGGGACGTTGATGTCGTAGCAGTTCTTCTTACCTTGGGAGATGGGGAAGTAGCGGAGACTGCGCTCTTGTTGTCTAGGAAAATTCTGGGGAATGGAGACGTTGGCAACAGCGCCACCGGAGAAGAAGTTGTCAGCCATCCAAGTTTGGTTGACGCTATTTGAAAAATTATGGTACCCCCCGCAATCGATCAACACATGATAATCTGCAAAAAGGTCACCACTCTCTAAATCCACGAGCAACTTATGTAATCAACAAAAGAAGATGCTTCCAAACTTCGTTATATGAACCCACCACAACCATACCCAAAGAGAAACGAGCTAGAACCGAAAGTGAAAATCAGAGGCGTACCTCCATGTGCCGCCAGAGACGAATGAAGAAGACCTAAAAGCCACAACCCCAGTACAAGGAGGCCCGCCATGGAACTCAACACTATGCACCTAAAAATTCGACCTCTGCAAAACGCCACACGGATCCTTCCGAAGCTTATCGCAGATTAATAATGACCACCATCCCACCGCCGCCGAATCAGCGCATATCTTTGAAAACACCCATGTCCCAACACAAGCATCCTCCAAGCTCCGGCTCGTCCTGCTCCACCACCAGAACTCCTTCGTGCGGCCCACGCACGCACATCTGCCTACACTGCACCTTGTCAACTCTTGGAGCTTCCAACCACAACTACAATCACACCAATCCTGGAAACATCTGCGGAAAAAGCTTCTAGAAACCGAATCTCTCCAAGACCTTCAAATTGCGAGCTTCTGATGTTTGAAGAAACGAAAACTTCTGCAGCAACCCCTACAACGATAGTTGATCTCCTCCGCCCCAAGGGGCACGACCACTTTCCAGGTCGTGTACTCCACGATCTAGCGCGTTGAGCGAACTCTCAACAACCTGGTACAGAGACAAGCAAGCTCAATGCGTTACCACCTGAAAGCACGCCGCGAGCATTGCAGCAGCTACCTCATCAACAAGCGATCCTTCGCGAGGCGCAAAATTTGTTTGTACACTCTAGCCGGCGGGAATCGATGACACGAAGGTGGCAAATGAGGGAGGGAGCCAGGCGCGAGAGGCGCGGATCTGGGAGCGACGCAAGGCCAAAGTGAGGAAATGTGGCGGCGAGGGTGTTGGCGATGCGGGTGGCGCGCATTGATGAGAAACTGGAGAAAGCCTCAGGGCTGAGGATTGTCGCTCCAGGAGAGTGCATTTGATTGTTTGTTTCTTTCTTCTTTTTTCGTTAATTATGTTTTTTTCTTTGCTTTTCTTTTCTTTTCTTTTCACTGTAGCTCTCACTCTGATCATCGTCACGAGTGAGCGGGAGCTCACAATCATCTACGATTCTCGTCTCGTTTCGTCCTCTGACCACATGGAAATCGCGGACCCAGCACCCCGTCGATCCCACCGTGATTGTCGCGACGCAGCAGGATTTGTCCCTTTCGTCTACCCCTATGCGGTGAAACCCACCGTAACTCCATCAGGGTGGTGCCAAGCTCCATGCTGCGTTTTGGGCAAGCTTCCATTTCCACTCCCCCACTTTAAAAACCCACACCCCACTCACGAAAACAAAAATCCACAAGGTCCTAGAAATCGGAAAGGTTATTAATAACAAATCCCTGCTGGGTCCGAAACTTGCGCCAATTCTCCGCCTGATTCGGGCTGTTTCTGCTCCACCTTGTAGTGTGCTATCTTAGTGGATCCGAGGCGATTCCTGTGGCGTGAAATTTATGGGTTTGGATCCCACTCCACCTTTCGATGTATCCCCATGTGCCGCGAGAATTGAATTCCGGCAAGGAGTCAACGATTGATTACCAAAACCCTACGCACATCTTCACGGATTGGTCACATTGCATCTGTTTTTGTTTCTCACGAATTCGCCGAACACGCAAAAGTGACCCAAAAACACGACCCCATGCACTACTGGAAACTAGGTTTGTCAGAGATACTGGAATCGTGCTTTTTCGTATTAACAAGGCCACAGTTTGAATTTGTGGCACAACGAGTTTTAATTTATGTAGTAATGGTAGAAATTTTCATTTGGGTTAATTGTAGAGGATGGTCAAATGTTGTGTAACCATGACCCACCTAATCTATTAGACAGTAGTTGTGTTGTTGTTTTATTATTATTATTATTATTATTATTATTTTGTTTGTTTGTTTTGTTTTATTTTTTTTTTTTGTTTTTTTTTGTTTTTATTTTTTTTTTCCCTGTCAAGTGAGGTTAATAACTTATGTTGCCATGTTCAAGAAGTGGGGGGTTTATGATAGGGATAAAGAATAAAGGGGTGAGTAAACCACATTGATAATTTTTCTTGTGTTGGTCAAGACTTTTGTTTCTATTTTTACTTTTTTAACCAAGGTATTGTTTATCCCTATCATGTGTTCATGTGAGAAAAAAAAAAAAAAAAAAAAAAAAAAAAACTAACTCAAAGTTTAAAAATAGACACATGTGTTTTTAAACACAAAGAAGAAGAAAAAAAGTTGTACACGATAACACTTAATTTTATGTTGAATGTTGTGATATGTGTTGATGATGTACTGCCTATTTGAAATAAGTTATTCTAAATAATATAAAACGTGCTTTTTTCTTTTTTCTTTCTTTTTCTGAAATTTGTTATTAGAGTAAAACTTTGTTTGAGTTTCTGTAAAAAATCATTTCCTTAATATTGGTGATGACTCGGGTATATGCCTAGAATATAAATTCATTTCTCTCATCTTATTCAGCTAGTGAAAATGGAAGAAATGTAATGGATCAAAATTTGGCTTCCCTAAAGCATGAGTGATCATATATTTGGAATTGTTTCGAATCTTTTCTCATATTGAAAATTACATAGTAAAAAAATACATATATATATGCATGTATATCTCAAAATAAATTCATAACAAATAAACTAAAAAACTTTAGAATACAATAAGTCTGGGAAATAAATGTGAATTAGCTGGCAAATTAAATGGGACAGTTATCAAAATGAAATTTGTACTAATATTTGTAAGATTCAAGAGCATTTTTAATGGCGTTGGAAGTGAAAAGGCTATCAAAACATCCGACTTTACTTTAGTGATTATATATTTTTAATAAAACTTTGGCTTCAAGTTACCATGTAATTTATCTGACGCAATATATACTTCATTCAAAACAATAGTATTGACAACAGAGTCGTGTGTAATATATATTTTCTTTTTACAATGTGTTCTATTATAGTATGTTCGATACTATCATGTTGAACTGCACGTGGTGCTCAAAAATTGTAATTTTTTTAACATGACAGAAATCACAGGAAAAAAATAAAAAATAAAAAATAAGAGAGCGAGAGAAAGAAGAGAAAAAAGTTTAGTGCTAGTCTAATTTTACATTCAAGTACAATCTTTGAATAACATTGTGAAGAAAGAAATTAAAAATCAAACAACAACAACAACAACAACAAAACTTATTGTTATATATGTAACACATATACATATAATAGTCATTACCACTAGTATGTATCCCATCTACAACAATGCCATTCAATTTTCAATCCCAGAAACAAAAATTATGAATGCTTACAAATTTCTCTTCGAACCAAGATTGCATTATGTAAAACTTCTGAAAAAGAAACCTTCATGGTAGAAATGGATATATGGATGAACAAAACACACGCCTTCATTAAGTGCGTCTACAACATTCATATTTTTCGTTCATTTTCTCTAATAGGGTAGGAATAAATAAATAAAAATAAAAATAAAAAAATCATCTCTCAATGAGTACAACGAAGGCACAATCATGGAAGCCACATGACCATTAGAAAAATTGAGGCTGACATGGCAGGGTACCTCAGCACACCACCTTGTAAAGGCCATTCCTTTCAGTTTTTCAACGCACGATGACCGTGTGTCTTTGGATGGTTTTCTCACTTTCATGACTCCTCTGTGCAAATAATTGTTGAACGATAATATACTCTTCGTCATTTTCTGTTCGGTTTACAATAAAAAACACAAAATGGTCAGTGTTTACTAAAATTTGGCATTTAATGTGTGTTTGTATCAAGCAGGAGGTGGGATGAAAAATCTGCACCCTTATATACAGTACAAGTAAGAAAAAACAATGTATCACAATGTCTTCATGATGCACCCCTGATTAAGTATGATTATTGAAATACTATTGCTGAGATGTTAGAAATCACTCGCGGCACTAGAAAAAGTCACAAGGATAAAAAAAGGAATGACGAGTTAGAACTCCATATTTTAGGAAGCGACTGACCATCAATGCTAAAATAATAAAGGATTCGCATCTCCATTTTCTATCTTACAGTAACCATTCTCACGCTAATAACATGTTTATATTGACTTGCTCCTAAATTTAAACTAACTTTCATACTGTATAAAATTGATCGTACATCGGTTCTTACCTCTGAATTTGATGGCTTTTCTTTGTTACCTAATCCAATTATATTTACATAGTCTAAAGCCTACGAAAAAATCAACAATTCAATGGAGCTTCTGTGAAAATGAGTGACAATGAATTTCACGTTGTACAGTGTTGATTCTTCAAACAACACCACCAGCGCGAACTTCATATACTACACATGTAAATCTGGTTGGATTCAGTGTTGTGATTTCTTTGGAGTTTGCGAGGTACTCACTTATAAGGTAGCAATCCAGTGATAATCGGCCGGAGAGATGAGTTCACTGTTTGAAGCTGGTGATAAACTGAGGTACAATCACCGTTTTTGTGAGCTGGGTCAGATTGAAACGGCTCAACACATGGACTGCTGAGTTGCAGGACACGTTTAAAAAATCCTCGTCAACAGGTCAAGAATCAGATAGGTATATGAAGACCGAGTGCACATTACAGTTACGGTTCAAGCCCTAAACTCATCACCTGTATACACTGTGATGCAGCATTCATGCCTCTGGATGTGACGTCCCGGAGTGCTTTTCCACCTTAGAACTCCACCACAGGCTTACTTCGACAGAGATCTGTGAACGTTACCGTAACTCAAAAAGCATGGCACTTTCACAGAACCTGTTGCGAAGAAACGGGCTGGTTTCCATCTATTGCAAAGAAATTGAAGAACTGAGAGCATTTGGCTTCGTGAAGACTCAAACAAAGCTGGCAACCGAGAGAAATCACTTCTTTCAGAATCAATAACAGACTTCAAACCAAAGATTACTGAACATGAACATTATTCTTTTTTCAAAGCTCTCTCTAACTCTACTCCTTTTGAAAAGTACAATTTTGATGAATAACTACTCCCAAGTTTCGCAAGCCATTCAGCTCCTAGCCGCCTGCAACATGCGCGACTGCCAGTGTGAGAAGACTTGAATTGTAGAAGTAAGAATCACTTGGTAGGGACATTGTCAGGGGTAACTTTGTAAAATTTCATTGACCTACGCAGGTGCAAGCGGCAACGCAATCAATAACCAAAATGACAGGAAGAAGGAACTCGTTGGTGAGTTTCAACAAACTTATCTCCAAAACGCGGACAAATATGCCAATATTGTAAAGAATATTGAGATTTGGCATCACCTCAATGATGTTCCTTCTTTGGAGCAGAAAATCTCGATGCAATGCCATCCACAATGAGATAAACACCAAACAGACCCAAAGCAATGCCTAGGCCAGGGGTAGCCCTCCTCAAATGACCGTTGAGAATTGGGTGCTTGCGGTATTCATCCCGGGACTTGAAGAAATCCCCCGTTGAAACGAGACTTCCCTTCCTCAAATTTAAACCCTCGTTCGCCATAGCTACTTGTGTCTCTAGGTGCCGCCTACAAGAGATGCCCAATAGAGAGTCAATAGGTGACAATGGAAATGCCCATCTAGCTCTCAAACTCCAAATAAAATCCTCTTCTGCAGAGAACCAATTGCTACGAAACCTCCCACACATAATTCTCTTCCTACCGCTAACATTACAAGCAATACGTAGCTTTCTAACATCACACTTCTAGAGTTTCCACTCCTACAATGAGTTTGTGAGTCGAATTCGTCAGAGCTAGAGGGGGAGTGTTGAGTATCAGATATGCTCTACGGTTAGAACAAAGCACAGCACTGAATGACAGAAACTAGGAGATTTAAAAAATTGTAATCAAACAAAAACTACGTGACTCTGGAAGTCAGCTTTTAGACCTAATTGGCAATCGGGTCTCAACATAACTACGCAACAGGACTGACATCAACAAGAAGAGGCCCAGAGTATCATTGAGTACGCAGGAAGACCTACAAAAAAATTCCCCGACCGTTCAGTGGGCACTGCGTGTGATTCACAATTATGCAATAGTTCCAATCCTAGTATAAGAGAGAAAACATGAGAACAAGGGAGACGAGGCAACAACGAAAACTCACCGCAGCAAACCACTCTGACAAAACAAACCACAGAACAACAAGCCCAAATGGCGCCTCGTGGGGACTTTCCTCCCAATCTATGCCACCCACTCCGAAGAGGTTGAAATTCCACACAAATCGCTCCTCTGAGCTCTAAACCCTAGAAGGCTTCGGTGAGTGGAACAAGATATGGAAGAGCAAACTTTGGATGGGTTCTATCCAGTTAACGAAAAACGACCTAAAAACGACCATTTACATCATGCAAGTTTACATACATGCACACCATCTAAAAACAGATGTTTGTATTGAGAATGTTTTAGAGAGAAACAAGAGAAGCTAGAAGCAATGAGCACACAAAATATACACACATGAGAGAGCTTCTAAAAAACTATGTATTGATGTGATTGTCTCACTTGTTTATAAAGAGAAGGGAAGAAGATAAACAATTTCTCTCTACTACATTCTAAACACTATAGCTACAATATTTATTGTAACTACAATGAATGTTATGGAGAAAATTGGCTATATTTAATGCTCTCAACACTCCTCTTTGCTCGTCATAATATTTATGTAACATAAAATTTGCATAGAATTATCATCTATACTTTTCTATAATCTTGTAAGATTAACAACTATTGCCTCATTAAAACCTTATCTGAGAAAACTATATTGTATTCAAAGACAACAACCATAGATGAAGGAAAAAGAATACAACATCATTTTTTTTATTATTATTTTTTTTAATCATTTAAAAAATTCATTAACTTTCTTGCTCAAGAAAAGCAAATTGCTACATGCCAATGTTATAAGTAAGTCGGCAATGGTTGCTCAAAGGTAGAGCTTTGGTAAGAAAATCAACAATATTATTTTTAGATTCAATTTTTTTGATCTTAAGTTCTTGATCAATAACCAAGTCATAGATATAACTAAAATATTTTGGATCAATATGCTTTGTCTTGTCGCCTTTAATGAAACTAACTTGCATTTGTGCAACACAAGCACTATTGTCTTTATGCAAAATAGTTGAAAAATCATGATATGAAAGTCCACAAGTTGTCTGAATGAGTTTATCAATTGATTACAACCAAATACATTCCCAAGATGCTTCATATAAGGCAATAATTTTTGCATGATTGGATGAAATTGTAGTTACAGTTTGTTTCATTGATTTCTATGATATTGCAACTCCATGTCTTAAGAATACCTAACCTATTTGACATTTAGCTATTGCAATATTAGATTTATATCTTGCATCACAATATCCTACTAATTTTGGATCTGCACATTGTGTGTAATATATTTCCAAGTCTTTAATGCCTTTCAAATAACATAATAAGTATTTGATGCCATTCCAATGTTGTAGTGTTGGATGTGCATTATGTCTTGTAAGAATATTAACTGCAAATGTAATATCTAATCTTATAAATGTGACTAAATATTAAAAAGCTCCAACCACTGTGAGATATGGATATTGATCTCCTAATATTTCTTCTTCTTCTTCTTCTTCTTCTTCTTCTTTGTATGGACGGTATGGATTGTCACCATCATGACCATGTCCAACCATTGATATTGATAGTAAATAAATATCAATCATATTAAATTTCCGCAAGATTTGTCTAATATACATTAGTTGATAGATAAAAATGCTACTATATGCATTTATTATATTCTTCCTTGCACATTGTATGTAATATATCTGCACTTTGTGAGATGCTTAATTTGAAGATCAATATAGAAAGTTGTTTTTCCTAGCATTTTCATCTCAAACTCATAGATAAGTAGGTTAGTAACTACAACGCATGTAGATCTAGTATCTACTAGGTTATGATCATCAACATGTATAGCAATGATGACAAAACCAATTTTATCTTGTTTGATAAACAAACAAGAGATTAGTAGATCACTTACAAACTTATTTGTAATTAAATAATCTCAAAGACATTGATACCACATGCATCCAAATCGTTTTAGATTATACACGGCCTTATCTAATTTAATACCATGATATTGTCATATAGTAGATGCATTTGGAGTTTCTATTTCCAAACTAAATGAAACTTTCATATAAGTATCTGCATCAAGAAAACCATATAATTATGTAGTTACTACATTGATGAAATGTATTTTAAAAGTGGCATGGACTGCCATTTTAATATATTATTGGAATGCAATTGAATCTATGATTGAAAAATATGTGGATTCATAATGAATGCCAAACCATTAGATAAATCCTTGGACAACAAGACAAGCTTTATAGCAATTTATTTGATCCTTAACATCTCACTTGGATATTAATACCATCTTATATCTTACAAAGCTAGATATAAAAGTGTCCATAATTGGACCAAAGACTTTCTTTTTATACAAAGAGACATATTCCTCCTTGAAGATATTTTTACATTTTAACTAGTCAAAGTAACACATTGTTTCCTCGATGGTTTAAGGTTTAGGATCCTCTTCTTTATAAAAAAGAACTTCTATAATCATGCATGCAAATGATTCATCTATTATAATAGATGGTCTATCCCAAATGTCATTTCTAGTACAATATAAAATAGATAATTCTATACTCAACTTGGTTTTATTCGTCTTAATATCAAGATTTTTTATTGTATGAGATAAAGATATAATTTGCATAGACATATCATTATTAATTGATGGTCCCATAGGTTTAGTAGGAATTTCCATAGAAATAATATCAGAATTAGCGCATATTATAGCTTTTTTTTTTTATGTGGTTACTTATCTAATCCACAAGTCTTTTTAGTTTTTGATATTATAACATGAGATGTATTAGTTAGTGGTATTGCAATCTGAGTAGGTGTATTTTTAGCCTCATTAATAGAAATTCTTGTAATCTAAGGTGCATCATTGAAACCATCAAGTGTTTCATCTACAATCCATTTTAGATACAAAATCTTAGCAACTTCAATTTCAACCAAAGATGTTCTAGGATTAGGATTTATTGTAAACATTTTTTGTGCTTTAAATATAAGTGTTGTATTTCTTTGTTGATTAGATACTCTTCCTCAAAGAGATGGAAATACATTCTCTTCAAAATGATAATTTTGAAAATATATACATAATAATGTGTCAATTTATGGTTCAATAATATAAATAATGCTTGGTGAATCAAAACCAACATATATGCCTTCTTATCGATGAGTTTCAATAATACATTATTGAGATTCTAAATTGGAATCTAAGCAAAGAAACTAAACACTTGTAGATGAAATATATTAGGAATATAACTTAAAATGAGCTCTTGTGGTATAATACTTTGAAGAGAAGAAGGATGGAGGCATATTAATGCTGCAACATGTAAAATTGCATGACCTCACATAAATAGAGGTAAATTTGCCTAAAGAAGGAGTAATTGGATAATAAGTTGTATATGCTTAATAAATAACTCTATAAGTCTATTTTGAGCATGTTCATATTGAACTCAATATGTTAACTCAATTCCTATTGCAATACAATAGTCTTCAAAAGCCTTTGATAGAAATTCTTTTGCATTATCTATACGAATGTTTTTATAGGATGATGAGAAAATGTGTCTTAAAACAATAAATATAAGATTGACAAATATCATTTTTTGAGTTGATAATAATGAAACATGTGATTGTTTGCTTAATGCATCAACAAGGATCAAAAAATAATAAAATAATCTAGATATTGGATTAATAGGACAACAAATATTACTATACAATCTTTCAAGCATTTGTGGTAATTCTTATAGAAGTTTTCAAATGAAGGTTGAAAAATCATCTTGTTTTGTATACATGCATGACATAATTCTATAGAATATGCATTTATAAATTTTAAAATATGCCTAGTTATATATGAAATTATCTTTCAAAATAATGTAAATCCTGGATGTTCTAATTGTTTATGCCAAAGAGAAATGCAACTCTCTATGATAGATGATGCAAAATTACATATGAGAAAAGATCAGATTGCAATTTGGTATAAATTATTTATTATAGCAAAGGCTTTTTCAACAACTTATGGATTTGTGCCAAAATCTCCCTCCTATTTAGAATGGCAATTGAGAGATGATAATCATTGGCACACACATCTTGGTAGGTAATTAGACTCCAAGATATTGAAGGCGTAAACACTGCATGTTTATATTTTATGATGGAACCTGCAGTCAATTTTACCATCACTATTTCTTCATGGAAACAAAATGTATTTTCTTTGGTGTTGTATTACAAGTTATCTTGTTTAGAAATGCACTAGGCACCTAGCTCTAGAAGGTGAGGTTGTATTTCAGAAGTATCTAAGAAACCTTAATAGGTTTCATCCATATGAGAAGAATATAATCTGAATTTTAATTCAAAAGTGCTAAAAAATACTCTTCTTAGTAGCCTTAATCATACATAAATTCCAATTACCTTGTTACTTTTATATTTAAGCAATTTAGATTTTTCTTATAAGCCCCAATCTTAATTAGTGAGCTTTAAGAAGCTATAACATCTAATCTAACCATCCACTTGATGTAAAATTTTGCATGCAATTGCCAATGTAAGTCTTTACCAATGTCACTCAGCTGCCAACTTGAAAAGTGAAGTAAAAATCTCAGTAGTGATTTCTCCTTTTCCAACCGTTAACTTTGACTCAAAATTGGGTTTTACCTGATCTTTAAGTTCTTCAAGACGATGTCAAAGTTCACTTTGATCCAACTAGTAGATCTCCAAATATCACAGAAATCCTACCCAACTCCAAACTGCCAACTTCTGAAACCGTCTTGTGCTAAAAACTAGATATCTCTAAACCACGCCATTAGATTATCTTAAAATTTTGTATACACTTAGCACACTCAATAATCCAAATAGTATCAAATTTTGAACTGTAGATGCTACACCAATTACACGAACTAGCCAAAATTGCTAGCCCTAATTATTTCATATAAAATCCAAATCACTAATACAAATCCTAATTTTAAATAACAATTGCTAAGTCCTCAAAAATCTTCTAAAAACAATCCTTATGCCTCTGAAAAGAGCTTCAAGCTAACTCTTAAACTCTATCCTCCGATCTTCAAATGAATTCCTATTTTACCCTAGGCCATCATTTTAGTAGCTAGAGATCTGATTTCAACCCTGTCTCACAAACGGTCGACCCCCGAGTATCAATCTAACTTATCCTAAGGATTTTTTAGCCCAACCCTACTCTTAACTTAATCCTAGTACCAACTATACTACTTATTTACCTCTTCTAACTTGATTTTATCAATTTATGGTCTTGCTAAGGTAGTAGAAGAGTCTCTATAACCTAGAAGGTAAAATTACTAACTAACCTTCAACCTACTAACTATTAAAATAAGAAAATAACCTAAGAGGCTTTTATAAAAGCCATTTTTAGATACCTCAAATTATAATTGAACTAAGATAATTAGATATTAATTAGAAATTTAATTTTAATTATAATTTCACTATATAGTCGTATTACATCATGACACTGCCCATAGTTATCAAATTTTTAGTTTGCCAAGTTAAAGATTTTTCAATAAAAAATCATCTATCCCGCAAGATAGTATGTATTATTGTAAAATCAATGAATGCATTATTTGATTCATCATTAGAGGTTTTTTCATTCATATAAGCCTCTAAATCATCAATACCAATTGAGTCTATGGATGCATCTATGGTATGAACTTCACAAGCTTCAGCTTGAAGTATCTTATTTTCTTTGAATATTTTAACAAAGTATTTTGAAATACAATACATGTGTGCTAAATGTCCAATTATGCCATATTTATAATAAGAATGTATATCTGATTTTTATTTTTTTATTATAATTAGTAGTAGAATGTTTATTCTTTCTATATGGATGGAAATGGTCACAACTATGATTGCCTTGGTACTTATGAGCATCTTTTCTATGTTTGTATAATTTTTTTCTTAGCCTTTGAAATATTAAAGTACATGAAATTCTGAAACCATTATTCCAACAAATCAAGCTTCTATATTATACAAAAGTAGCTCATTTTGTTTCTCCACAAGAAGTAGATAGGATATGAGATGACTTTAAATGACTTAGAATGACTTTGAAATTTCATGTTTCTATATGGTTGTACAAGCACAATAAATGTGGATGGAACTATAGAGAGAGTTTTTTCAATTATTTCTTCTTTAGAGATGCTTTGTCCACACATCTGTAGTTGTAAGACAATTCAATACATTTCATCATTAAAAGCATTTAAATTTTAAAAATCCAAGATGCATAAATGTGTCCAATCATGATATGCAGGTAGAAAGAAAATGGTCTTTTGATGATCAAACCTAGATTTAAGATTCTTCAAAGCTTGGTTGGATCTTCCATTTCTAAATATTGATGTTATGATGTAGGTACAAGATGATGACAAAGAAAAAGAAGTACTTTCCAATGGATAATAAGAAGAATAGAAGTACTTACAATAGGAGATTCTTCAAGCAAAATTGAATCCAATAATTATTTTGCAAATAGGTTTATTTTTGCCATTTTTTCCCATAAATGCTGGGATGCAAAGATAATAGTTAGAAACATAGTAGAGGCAGTTGATGATGTTGAAGCACTCATTATAAATAAATCTATGAAGAAAATACAAGATCAAGTAGAAAAGCTTGAATAAAATAGATCTTGAAATATAAAGTCAAATAAAATAATAAAGTTGAACTTGAAATCAAAAATGTTGAAATTCTTTGGGAAGTTTTTTTTTTTTTTTTTTTTTCACAACAACAAGGGTTTGCAGCAGCAGCAAATGGCAACAGCAACTACAACAACGGATGATGGACATCGACGATGATTGCATACAGCAGAGTACAACAATGGGCGGCAGTTTAGTAACAAGGTCGTGAAGGTAAGCGGGAGCAACAGCAACTAGCAAGGCACAGCAAACAGCAGGGAGGCAGGGCCATGTAGGGAAAGAAAAAAAAAAAAAATAAGGAGAAGGCGAAGGCAAAGGGCAAGGTGTACACAAGTTTTTAAGAACCAAGAATAATGCACAAGAGTGGTCCTACTGATAACCAATTGGAACATTGCTCCTAAAGAATTGGAAATCATGAGGTACTGTACATTTTGGGAACTCTCTTCAGATACTACGCACGGTGGATTGATCCTTTGGTCAAGTTGATAGATATTCATGGAAAATGTCTAGGCTCCAAATCCTACAAGAATCAATCTCTAAACTTGAAGTGAAAACTGTCGTGAAGACTTGCTGTGGAACTCTGGACTTGAGTGTTGACATGGAGGCCTAGAAATGTCATAAAGATGCTTCACATAGGTAAATTAGCATCGTATCTCTTATGTACATGAATTTGTGATGGGTGGCTTACCTGCTGAGAATATCCATGAGAAAAGTCATACAATTACAGGGTGTTTCATTTCGTTTATGTACACAAATTGAGATACTGCTCTACCAGTCTTGTGCAGGTCAGAAGGGTCTGATCAGTTAGGAATACTCAACGTCATATAACAAATTTTGCACGTACAATACATCGGATTAGATTTCTAAAGTTCTTGCGACCACTCTCAGATGAATCCTTGCACCACTTAAGAATGTATAAAGTAGTGGTCACCTTGAACAAGAACCTGCTAGGAACCCATGTGTGGATCACCTTCAATAAATGAATAATAAGGGTACAACTAAGAACTGGCATCTTACTCAAACTTCGCCATGAACGTACGTACAACCAATAACCCAGCACACTTAGCTTAGGATGCAAGGGGTTTGAGAGCTAAAACGTGCAAGATTATCAGAAAACATGAACTTTCTATCACTACATTTGACCGACTATCGACTAAACAGTGAAGTGAAAGAAACGTTGCAATCTGCGTTTGGATCTTCAATGCAACGGCAGAAAGCCTCCTCGTCCATAGGAAGTACGGCAGGAAGAGGGCGATCTGGTGTGATACCCACCTGCAATCATTCATTGGAGAAACCACAACATCATGTACAGAATTAGCTTCGCAAACTCTCCATAAACGAGCATTTTCGAGAAAATTGCCGCCTTCTGAACTACAATAACAATAGTGAAGAAAGGCAACACAAACTCCTCAAATCTACAAACAGGTACGAAATAAGATATCCAACAAGTTGACGAGGGGAGTAAGCCTTTCTTGTGGTCATTCAGAAACCTAAAGCAGATACCAAGGTTCAATCATCCAGTTTACTCAACAAAATTGAATTCAATGGTAAGAGGAGAGGTGGAGCACCTTGTCAATGTTGATGTGAGCAGGAGTTTCGTAGCGAGCAATGGTTACGGCCATGCCTGAACCATCAGACAACTGAAACACGGACTGTATTCTCCTGCTCGGCCAGTAGTCATGAATTAGAGAAGAGACTAGAGATGTGTGACTAACAAAAAAAAAATGGAGATAAAATGATTCTAAACGACAGTCAATACTAACCCTTTTCCAAACGTGGGTTCTCCAAGAATAACAGCTCGTTTGTTGTCCTTAAGAGCACCCGCTAGAATTTCACTAGCACTCGCTGTGCCCTTGTTTACCTGGCATCAAATATCCACAAATTTCCTGAAAATATGTATACTACAAGACGTATGAAGAGCCTCCTTCAGATACATGAGGTACTGATGCGGCTTTCAACACAAGACAAAAACTTGAAATCCACAAGATAATCAAATTGCTTACATATAAAAACTTCTACAATTAATGGTGCCTCAGAGCAAGTTAAACTGGAAAGAGATACTTGAACCAGCTTACAAGTACAGCTAGAGGCTCTTTGGTAGAGATAGCTGAATCCCCATCAGTATCATAAATATCTCGAACGCCCATGCTGTCTGCAATGTAGACAATGACGCCTTTGTCTAGCCTGGTGACAATCCAACTACAAGCTTAGAATCATCCTGCAAAATTTCTGTTGAAGATACTTGGTAGAGAAATACCAAGAAAACATTCCCTTTCATACTTCACTGTAAAATCAGTCCTGACTTGCTACGACTAGCTAGCCGAAAGACATCGGATGACAATACCAAACACTTAAATCGGCGACCGACTACAATAGTAAACAGATACTGGGTCAACGCAAAATGAGTTCTTATAACTTACCACATCTTTGCAATCTCGACTCCAGAAGGAAACAGGCCACCACTGAAACACGACACAACATCCATGTCAAAGATTTCTATAAAAGAAAAATGTTCATAACTGGTAAACTGAGGCGAACAAGAATACTCACAAACATGCTGGACAGAGTTCTAGCAGGGACACTTCTTTGCTTACTGCTGATTTGATAACTTTCAGACTATTGCAAGCATGAACCCTTGTGCTTTTTGGTCACGTTAGACAAATGTTTCAACTAAGCATTATCAAACCAAGCCTAATGTTAGCCATTCAGATCTAACTGTTCTAAAAAGTTGTGTCAGCTCTAGTGTTGCCTGTAACATGCAGAGTTGATATATAGTAAAACCTGTTATTACGAATGTCGAGTATGAATGCGGCTGCCCCACTCTCCTGCAAAGTCTCGATAGCTTTCTTTACAGCACCTAATTTGTAAAAAAAAAAAAAAAAAAAAAAAAAAAAAAAGAAACAAACAAAATTTATCAGAATACACCGCTAAAATTTAGAAAAAGTGCGCTCTATCAATCTCGAAGCATAGGAAACTGACTTTTTTTGCAAGACTTTGATGGAATTTTAAAACAAGCATCAAAAGAGGATGTCTCAGAGAACCATGTTGAAGTTGTCGTCATGGAGCGCAAGTAAGAAGTTCAAATATTAATTCACATGTGAAGTCAAACAAGAGAGCATCGTGGACGTACTGGAGGAATTCTGATTGAAGGTGGAGAGCCGAATATAGCCCAACTTTAATGGAGCCGATCCGTCATTTTGTTTCATTTCACACAATCGCCAAGTGACTGGGTTTAGCGTGATCTTCTCTCTCCTGTAAAAACAGTGGAGGGTTTAGCGGCTAGAAATCCAGTTATACAGTTTTAAATGGGATCGCTCAAAAACATAATCACTTACATCGAAAGCGGTGATGGAGCTTACAAGACCGTAATAGTACTTGGTGTTGTAGCATCTTTCTTTAGTAGCGTCAGTTCAACTTGCGATTGTACAGGACCCCTGTTATAAAAACCAGAGAGAAGTATCAAATAAAAACCTACGATAAGTAAAGAGATAAGAAACCTGCGTCATTCTCAGGAAACATTGTCTAGTCCCATAAAATGAATGCAAAGGGTAGTTTTGCATCTGACACATAGACATTCCCTACACTTGCGTTATCCAATTTCGTTTAGAAGCCCAATCAATGTGACATTTTGTTGCTTTCCTTCATAAATCTCAATGGTCAACTTACTGCAGACGCCTTGCTGCGTCATAAAGACCCATGCCATGGGTTGGGACACCGTCAATAGCTGTGATAACATCCCCTGGAAGTACTCCTGCACGCGCGGCAGGCCCCCCCGATACTGGGGATACTACCACCAAATCTGTATTTGAGGTACTTGAATCGCTTGTGTTGAAACCAACTTCCAATCCAACCCCCGTCACAGCACCATTTGTACCTGACTGCTTGTCAGATATCACATAAGGCACTTCAGTTAGTAGAGATTTAGTTAGGAAAGAGGAAACAAAAACACATATTAATAAAGTAGAAGAAAATCCTCGTTTTTTGAACAGATAAGCATCTAAATTGAACAAAGCACTTGAGAAAAGCTGCCACCGGTTGGTAACAGTTCTTGGAAATCGTTATTTACCTGCAAACTTTTGAACTTCTCCGGCTCCAAAAATCGGGTGAAAGGGTCGTCCAGAGTGGCCAGCATCTTTCGAATGGCTGCGTCTGAGCAACCACGGTATGCACAGAGCCAATCCTGATTAAAATTGAGTCAGCTTAATCCCCAGCTGCTTGACATGGAAGATGAATACGCACAGAACGGTAACATCATCCATGTTTACAATAAAGACCCTAAACGCTATTTCAAATGAAGGTACATTGCAGAGGAGATAAGAGCAGTGACCAAAAATTGTTTGGATTTGAACTCATTCTGCATGCTACTCAAGGGAATAAATCTGTTGGGGGAACTGTGATTTAATGCCTACCCTAAGTTATAATCAACTTATGACAATTTCAACATCAAGATTTGATTGGATAAAGGAGAAGAACAAGACCGTACAAGTTTCCTCTCGTGTTTTCATGGGCTCTTTCTTTAAAGCGTCTTCCCGGTACCTAAACCAGCTCTGACCATTAAAGGATTTGTCCACATAAGCACGATCAACAGTTCGCCATGCCTCAAGAAAGAGGAGATTTTCTTCTGTCAACGATACTGGAAGCAAGCAAAGGGTAGCCTTGTCAATACGTCACGTGCAAATGAACCACAAAGATTGATCACTACACCTGCAGCTAGACTACCGTTAATAATCAACAACGCAAAAAAAAAAAAAAAAAAAAAAAAAAAAACACTGTTATCCACTTCATAAAATCACCACACTTGGTGGAATAAATTGAAGAACGAACATACATGAGGGCTGAAGTGCAAAGCTGGCTAGAGCTCCAGTAACGATCAAAGAACTGAGGATGAAAACCAGGCCACGCCTCTTTATCGAAGCTTGCCAATGAGACTGAAACCCCGGCCAAAATACAAATTAGGCATTTATCTATAAAGAATCTTTTCACTTGCACTTCGTGATACGTAGGTTTATATTCCTTCATTCAGTATGCATGATGATGACGGATTACAAATGCAAATTCTCACCAATTGCTCAGCAACTTCCCCAGCATCGAAGCTTTCAAGAGCTGCAGGTAGACACCACAGCTGCCTTCCCCACCTGAGCGCAGTGACTCTCTGCTTCCGACCCCACCCACAGAGCAGCGAGGCACCCCCTGACAACTCATTTGGCCTATCCGAGCTTGCCGTTGTAAGACACACTTGCACAGAATGATTTTGCCTCAAGAAGACCCGGGCACTTTCCACACTCTCCTTGACTGCTCTACACGGACCCTTCCTCATCGCCAAACCCTGAAAAAGTATCCAAAAATCCTCAGAGGTAACACAATGCCAAATAAGAAATCAACTTTTCTCGTTCTCACGCCGGCCTAATCGTTGAAAACTCATTCTACCCTCGTGAACTCATCTACTTGCTCAGAAGTGGAAAATTCTGCTTCTCACATTAAGGATGAGAGTGGAACACATGGAATGTGCATTCTGTGAAAGTAGCTCCCAAAAGAAACCTGACCGTGCCATAATTCCGTCGCAATCACTCTGTAGAATTAGTAAGGTAGCCTTCGATCCCAGCAATTCAAGTTACGTTCTCAAAAAACCCACAAATTCAGAAGACCTCACAAACTACACCCCTGTCCACCAAAATAAGCGAACAACCAATTCGACACATTCTCGAAGTAATACACTCAGCTAACATCGCGTAAAACCCTTGACTCCAGAGGAACAATTGCAGCAGCAAACCTGCAGCGTGGCAGTGGGTGGTGAAGAGGACGTTACGCCGTAGCGGCACACGACGAGAGAGGACGCCATTCCGGAGGGGCAGTGGAGGGCTTCTGTCATGTCCCCTCCCTCCCTCTACCTTACAAGCTCCCCGGAATCGAGAAGGCTATTCAAGGCAAAGATGATTTCAGAACAGGGAGAAGAGAAATAAGTTGGTTTGGACTTGACGGAACGATGGCGCGCACCTGAGCCCACGAGTGACGAGATAAACAATATGATAATAAGACTCTGGTGAATGGTGATGCGGTTTAGAGCCTCGCACCCACGCCAACCACCATCGCTGCCTGCTGCCTCCCCGTCACAGACTTTTTCATTGCTTCAATCTGCGATGCACTGAAGAAACTTCGTCTCTTCCCATAGATTTTGTCGTTTATCTTTACAATTTTACATCGATTGCATGGCCTTTCAGTGGATGTTCCAGCACTGCAACTTGAAAAGTGGTATATTTGTTGCTAATATTAGTTTCCAGTTCATGAGTCCTCAACATTGAATTGCTGCTTCTCTCATGGAAAAACCCAACAGCATGGAAATACATCACTGCGCGTTTCAAAGCGTGATAACCATTTTAAAAGTCAATGTTTACGATCGAAAGTAGTCAAAGGTCTCTCAAACGTCAGGGTTACTCTGAAACCATTTGAAAGTTTCATCCCTTGTCACCAACACATTGAAAAGTGTAGTAGACCAAAACATAGGTTTACAATTTGGCTTGATTTGCCATTTACCAAAAACATGAGAACAGCTGATCAACAAATCTAAGACACAACGACTTGTGCTGTCTGGGTTACTAATCAATGATCATCAGTAAGCCAAATGACATGTAGGGAACAACGCCAAGGTTTCCTGTAAGATACCAATTCATCTCACACGTCATTGAGATTTTTTTGAAATTATCAGCAGTCTTCAAACGATCGAGAGAACCACGGGTAAAAATAGCGAGAGGAGAAGAAGAAAGGAAGAAAGGAAGAAAGGAAGAACCACACGCATGAAGTTGCAGATACAGAAATCCTAAACCAAGGAAAGCAACCCTGAGCAACAAGTCCGTTGAAACATTTATTTTGAGGCAATTCCATTACCAGAACCTTGCGAAAGGGGTTTCGTTTTCTCAGGCAGCTTTTAATATAAGGGGCCCTATCCAAGGGCTACCGCCTTCAGGGGCAAGGAACCTCCATAAACATGATCGGAGGTGGATCACTTCAGACAAACTCAAAAAACCCTTAGAAAACGTTGACACAAAATTACAGCGACATTCTAATTGTAGTAAAAACTATCCACTTCGCGAGTTGTGCGGAGGCTGGTTAAAACTTGAGTCTATCCATATGCAGCGGAGATGGGATTCACTGCAGCTAAGGGATTGATTTGTACACTAAATGCTAACTGCCAGAAGTCACGTATTCCTACTCCAAAGGAGTTAATTGCTTTGCCTATAAACCTACACAAACACACAAAGAGAGCGAATCAACTTAACAGAGGTAGATTAGCAGGAATCGAGGCTTCCAGCAGTATTTAAAAAAATTCTCACAAATAAAACTCCCACATATATAAAGGCTACAAGCATACCTAACACAGGGATGCTAATGCAACAAACGAAATACAGCAGAAAAAACGACAGATAGTTGCACAACAGAAAATTAAATGACAGATAACCATGGTCCACACACCTTCTCCATGTTGGAAAGTGTCTGAGGAAGAAAAATAGTGCTACAAGAGCCCCAAAGCGTAACACATTCCCTTCCAGATGCTCTGAAGAAAGAGGATGCCATGCTGAAGTAGCAGCGCTCACTCGTGCGAATGCCAGCTCCAGCAGCGTCTTTAGAGAGAAAAAACCTTCCGAGACGTTTAACTTCTTCAACAAAGCCATAGATTTTGAACTTATCGATGAATCATCAGCTGCTTTACAAGTATTCAATTGACATCTTGGGTCGCTACTTTCTTCTGTTTCCATATCCTTCACTGGTTCTTTTATGTGAATAGATTCCAGCACGGCGGTTGGGGTGCCAGAATTTAAACTTGAGGTGGACTCGGCAATTGGCTTGAGGACCACTTCAGCAAATTTGGCTTGTTCTATCTGCAACTGGATTTTCTTCAACAGAACCTTCGCAAAAACATGCAAGATTGAGAATATGAGACTAGAAATTACCATAAATTTTTACATCTGCTTCACAACCAGGGCCAATAAAAGCAGAAAAAAGCGAGAAAGAAAATCTTTAACTTGAAACATGACCAGAAGACCTACCGAACGTCTGTCCTGAGTTAAACTTGCACGTTTCACCCAGTCCAATGCATGCTCAGTTTCCTGAAGCCCTTCTGCAAGCACTTTGATGACGTAGAGTTCCACAATTTCCGCATATGCCTCTTCCAATAAGCACATACTCCGAAAAGCCAGAAATTCTTCAAGCGCAGCTCGCGCGGCCGGAAACGCGCCATCTGCTACTTGCAAACAGGCCCTGAGGACACAAATGTGTTACAATCCTCACTGTTTCCACATTTTCAAAAAACTTAAAGGGGGGGAACACGGGTGAACCTTGAAAGTCAAGTGTAATCAGAGGCTCTTTAAATTCCGGCTATATAAAAATCTCTCAAAATCTTAACACTCGTCTCCGGTTACCACCAACGAAGCACACAAAACGTAATACTTACTTGCACTTAAGCTGACGAAAGAATAATGGAAAATCAGGAGATAGACCACAAGATATGAAGCCAACTGTGAATGCAAAGGGCATCAATTGGGAACACACCCTATTTCGACAAGAAATGGTGGCCATTCAGCAACTCCAACATTAAGCGCTTTGAGTGAATCGAAAAATTCGCCAACTCTGCAACCAACCACAAGCAGACAACCTAACAACTTTCAATAACTCAATCCCATAAGGTACATAATCTCCATGGAATCAAACAGCATATTAGTTACAACTACGTAAACGACGGTTATCACTTCAGATAAATAAGAGAACAAATGAGTGGCCCCAATTCTCAGGTCCGCATGCAAACATAAGGCACAATTGTAGAGTTGATAGAGAGTACACACAACAAAAAAGGGATTCGCATACCTCTTTGACAAAAAAACAACTGGAATCGGAACGTTTTTCTTACACTCACCTGCCTATTGCACGGTAGCTCTGAAGCAATACCATGCCCGCACACTCCAACATTTCTTCATGTTCGGACTTGCCAACCTCAGCATCTTCTGTAATATCCTCCCTATCACTGCCGCAGCTTTCTTCATGGTCGCTTAAGTGCATGAGACAGGATAATGTTTGCAGGATAGTCGTAGCTGTTGAGGCTGCATCCTGATACATGGCGCTAACCAAGAACCTGTCTCCACATGACAGCATGCTTGCTAAATTGAATTCCTCGAGAATAGCTGCAAGAGATATAACACTGACTGCTAACGCATTGACTAGGATGATACTCTTCCAACTTGAGCACAACGTAGCATTCAACAGCACATTGAAAAATCGAAAAAATTCTGGAAGTAGGTGAAGATGATAGAATTTATCCTCAACTCTGTGAGTGTCCGCAATGCTGACACAAAATCCTCCGTAATCTAAAACTCATGTTTAAAGGGAATTTTTGTGCTTAGCCTTCGGACCTACAACACACTATATAGATCTACGAGAAGCACCTTCGACGCGCTAACCCTAGCAGATCGCCCACGTCAGTAATAATTCACAAAGATATCGAAAAAAATGTACCTCTCGGCCAATTCAATTTTGTTCCAGATCAGATCAGCCGAGCAATTAGCATCCACAGCAGAGGGCGAAAATTTGAATGCAGAATAGGAGGAATCCCACGGCATGTCCTCCTCACCTTCATCACCCAGCTCCTCTTCACTCACCCCAACCTCGCCACCCTTCTCGAGCTTTTCCATGGCTTCAATAGCTTCTTCCTCCACAATCTCCACCGCCATGATTTGACACCTGACCTAAAGCTCGATCACCTCCTTTCGAATCAAAGCTTAACGATCCACATACTCCTCTTACCACTTCTTCTACAAATGCACGACCTCGAACCCTAAAATTCAGTATCACGCCAAAACGCGAAGCAAAGCAATTCAGGTGTGCAGGTGACGGAATTTTCGGCATCGAAGAGGAATCCTGCAAGAACTGAGCGTCATGACATGAAAAATGAGTATGAGAAGCATAAACTCAGAGGCCAAATTGCGCAACGATTGTAGAATTGCCCACCGCTGCACGTCCACAAACACACACACACTGCAAATGTCTTCCCATGCCGCTCCGGAGAGACTGACTGACGATTCTGCACCGAACCCACCATCCTGATCCTTTTTCGTTCTGGGTTCCGGATAAACTTTACCGTTACCTTTAAAGTAAAACCTGCCGCGACCTCAGCACTTCCCCGGGCTCACGATCCAGATAAATGTGGGAACTGTAATTTGAAGACCACGACGTTCATCCGCCTTCATCCGAGGTTTAAGATGTGCGAGACGAAAGGGGGTGGAAAGTGTTTTATTATACATGTAATTTGTATTCTATGAAATCAAAATCCAGAAGGTTTGTTGATGTTTTGGTTAAAGTTTACAGGATTCATGGATACTATTGTCGAAAAATGTTATAACCGCATTTCGGTTTAAATATAGGGGTAATTCTTGTTTCCTATTTTTTTTTCTCCCTACATGCCGATATTTATATATACGTATCTTGTGAATAATACTAAACTTGTTTTTGTAACAGAGACCAAATTTCGAACAATTCATACCTCACAACAGTACTTTTAACGCATGGGAATATAAACCTTATTGACTGTAAGTGCAAACAACGAGGTACATGGCAAGGCGAGGAGATTGCCACCCTAAGAAAAAGGGTCCCTAACCAATGTTCATCCAAATAATACCACAAAATAAAATGTTTAATTATGGATGTTGAACAAGGGTGATGCAACGTTCTACCATTGCACCCACTATGTCCAGAGATGATAACAAACTACTGGTAGGGGTACCACGCGTGTGGGTGCCCGCGAAGGCGAGGCGGCAATACACCCCCTGACGGGCCGCGCCGTTTGTGAAAATCAGACTGCAGTGAGTGAGAGAGTCAGTAAGTTTATGAAGGTGTATGAGGATGTGCTAGTGTGAAATTAGAATAAGATAAATTTGTGGTGAAGCATCAACAATCCAGATGACACGAGACAAGTTCTGATGAGCTCGAATGCTTCACATGAGTAAAAAGCTGGACCACCTTCAATTATCTTCGCAAAGAAGGGCATAAGAGACCCGATTACACCCCGAGCATCATCGGCATTTGATGCTCAGAGGGGGAGCTCTTCTCTACAACACACACTAGGGTAGTTGTGAGTGTAGTCCATGTGCACAACTAGGCTGTGAATCAAAGGGCTGGAGGAGAAGGCTGTGCACGAGATAGGTTGCTCTATATTGGGCCCAACTTGCAAGTGAGGGTTGCAAAAGTGTGAGCTTTATCTTCAGAATTTTCCTTGCTTGATGGCATCGGCGTTTGCGTCACCGAGGGCAGCGGAATTCAGGTATTGCTCTGCAAGTTGGACTCGCTTCACGTTTTGCTGCTCTTGCACCAACATTTGTCCATACTCCATCAGCTTCTCGATGGTCATGGCGGGCTTCTTGAATTCCGGGGGGCCATCCTTGGAGTTTACCAAGTTCTTTCCGAGGTTCTCCACTCCGGTTGCTGAAATCCAGTTCCTAACCTCGTCGTCGTACACTCGGGCCCTCAAAGCGCCGAAGAAGTCTGCATGCGGGAGAGATAGGGTCAGTTTTTTCTGAGTTCTGAAGTTCGTAATTAGTACCCAGATCATTCCGAAATTGCGGTGTTAGAGGCAAATGGGGGGTCGCTGGAAGCTCACCGATGGATTGCCCAGGAAACATATCGACCATCTTGGTGACGTTGTCGTCGCTGATGTTGTCCAATCTGAAGATACCCTTGCACACACCAATTCTGTCCTCACGGGTGGGCGCCCAGTAGAACTTCTCCATACGCCCATCACGGATCAGGGGTGCGTACAAAGTCGAGAAATCGTTTCCGGTCACGATGATTGGCACACGAGGGATCTCTTCCTTGTTGTACACTCCGGGCAGCTGCACGTTGGTGGGGCTGTCGGCGATGTTCATGAGGGTGGCGTTCACCATCTGGTTGTTGACAGTGTATTGGGTGGTACCTCCCATACGTCCAGCACCAGCGTCGAGATCGTTGATGAAGAGACAGCACATCTTACCCTTCTGGATGATGGCTGCAGCTTCCCTGTACCTCTGCCTGATGAGCTTGGCGGGTTCTCCGGCGTTTCCAGACTCCAATTCTCCAGCACTCATCATGATAGGGCTGCAGACATTGTCTTAATTAAATTTTGCCCCAGCGCCATAGAGCAAAGTTTGAAAGTAACGAAGTCATCGAAATGTTTTACTCAAAGTAAGTGTCTGTGACATGAAAGAAAACGGGAAACAATAAGTTCAAACACATGGATAACCGAAAGTCGATGGGACACGTCGAAAGTATTTCACATGGAATCGCTACAACCGTTTGTCGGAAAGGTGATTACCGCCAAGCGACCACCAGAAACAACGAAGTAACCATCAAAAGCAGTGCATGCTTTCACTTACTGGCACATAGAGATCTCGAAGGACAACGTAACGAGGCTGCTTAGCAACCCCCGTCCTGAACTGCATATCTTAAGGAACTCCTGAAGTAAGCAGAAGTTTTTACTCACTTGATTCCGAGCTTCTTCATGACCAGCTCACTCTGGAAAGACTTTCCCTGACCCTTACCACCCCACACGCCGAGGATGAGAGGAACCTTAATGCCCGGTAAGTTCATGAAGTTCTTGCAGACGTGAATCACCAGCTTGTCCATGAAAGCAGGCGCAATGTACAGCCCATCACTCGTGTTGTCAAAGTTGTAACTGCACAATTCGCAACATCCGTCGTAGCACTTCTGTGAGCACTAGGAATGACCAAGTTCTCAAGGCCCACTGCATACCGCAAACTTGACTCAAGAACAGACATGGTGCAAAACTATCACAAATTCGAGTAACAAGCATATTGTTAAGGAGAAGCCCGCGTACGTCCGTTGTGCAGTGCTAACGTAGTCCCAGGAGCTCATGGTCACAACCTGGGTTCCGAGGCCCGTAGCGCCCTGGAAGAGGGCGTCCACCATACCCTTCCCCCGCTGGATGTCTTGCTGGTCATCGGAGATGTCATTGCCGAGTCCAGCCCACCTGTCCACCTTCTTCTTCTCGCCCTCGGCCTCGCACACAACACGGCTCTTGCCCTTGGCGACGCCGAGGGTCACATTTACGGAGACCTTGCTACTGCACCCGAACAGCGCAGAGCTTGGTAGAGTGCTCTTGCTAGTTGCCTGCGCACTAACTGAGGCCTGCACCTGCACTCCAACCATGACATGTTAGGAATTTCCTATTTATGGTCACCACCAGACGCTGAGATTCAAAAGGAAATCACCCTCGGCTTAACACCGCTGCCATGTATCCTAAATTGACAACGATTACACATAAGAACGAAAAGAACAACAACAACAACAACAACAACAGGTTGAGGAAGGATGTCCGGAGAGAAGAGTACCTTCGCAACGGCGATGGACTGCATAACTGCGCAGCTGGAAGCCATAAGGGCAGATCGACTGAAGATGCAAACCCAGCAAGAGCAGAACTATTTTCTGAGACAACGCTGCTGATCAACCTTCATGCAATCGAATCCGATTCTGAACTGCAGATAGCGGCTCAGTAACCTTATACCAAGTAGACAGCCTCCGAACGCGCGCCGTGTGGACAGAAAGGAGGAGGAGATAGAACGCCAGGGCCAATTGCGACAAAGCAACCCGCGGGGAGATATTTGCTTGGCTGCAAACCTCTTAAGCCACAGCAGTCGTCAGATACCCGAACACAAAGTAAATAACAGAAATAAAATTTACGGGGGAAATAAAAACGGAAAGTAAAAGAAATTCGCAACTGGGTAATGGCAACAATGTGGCAGAGTTCGCAGGAATTGGCCGAGCACCGGATAAGGCAAGCACAATGCAATTCTGCTGCACTTAGTGCCGCTATCTCTCACTTCACCGCGACCACAAGCTGTGGCGAATGTGGGTCCCGCAAAGTGGCGCTTGTGCTCTTTTTGGGGTATTAATTCTTCAAGTCCAGGCAGGCAATCGATGCAAGCGAGGCGCGATGCTCCCGTTCACTCATTCATTCAGTCAGTCACTCAGTAAATGGAGGCTCATGGACGAGAGGGTGAGTTCCAGAGTCTCACTCGTCCGTTCCGCCATCGCCCAACTTGACCCCGCATCGATTGCTCCGTTGTGGAGAGTGTGCTGGAGAGAAAGAGGGAGGGAGATGATGGAAAGCTTCAGGAATAAAAGTATTCTCAAGCTTTTTCCCCAGACATTTTCCCCAATAGTATTTTTATTTTTATTTTTTGGGATTCCAATCTCACATTTAACTTTTGTAATGGTGATTTTTTTAATTAGATGGTAATATTAAAATAGAATTGGAATTTTGACATCTTTTTAGTTTGATGGTTGTACAATATTTGGTGTTATTACATCCAAATCTTATTACTTTTCAATTTGTTTGTCGTTGTTATGCATGCTTCTAAAGTCATGTTTTAAACAAGATGGTAATAACAAAATTGGATTTTTTGCATCCAATTCTTGATTAGTTTTTATTTATTTATAATTATTGTGCATATTTTTAATGTCATGTTTGATATAAATAAAAATTGATTTTAATTATTTAGTAAAGACTTTTTAGGATTAGTAATTATATAACCATTGATTACAAAACGAAAATTCTATTACATTTAATTAAAATTTAACAATATAATTATGGAAGACATTGATTTTTAAACAAAATATAAAAAATTACAATATTGTGTGCAAAAAAAACATAATTTATTGATATTCTTATTATATTTTGTTGAAATATTTAATAAAATGGAGAATAAGACACATAAATTAAAACATCTTTAATTTTCTTTTGTTACGTAAGATCCAAATAATCAAATTGTTATGAACTGTTTGAGTTGTTAAAAAAATCTGACTTTAAAATGCAATTGAAAAAGCACTTATCACATTTGGAATTTTAAATTAGCTATCTACAAAGTATTAAACTTATACGATATGTTGTTGTAGTACGAAATGGAATTACTGATTAGTAATAAAACAATTATTCACTAAAGAATTTAATGAATATGCAATTGAACTAAATAATCCATGTACTACTGAGTCGCTCACGCTGGTTATACTTACGCAAATTTTGAAAACAACTTTGCTGAAGTAACAATGTTTTCATGATTTCAGCGGAACAGTTACATACATACTATCGTTTATTGGAACAAACCACATTATCCACTTCAACAATTTCTTCATTTTAGCAATTACACTTTGTAGGCAGTCATCAACTACAACAAGAAAAATCTCATGATCACAGACAAGCCGCAATCTTTTTACAGTCTACACAAACTATTTTTCCAATGTATATGTATATATGTATGCACACATTGTTGTGTACCGAAGTAGTTTCGGTTCAAAATCTATTCAGTGAATGGTACAAAATAGGTCACTGTATGAGTGAAAACAACCGTTCTCAATTGAACTGGAACAGACACTGGAAGATTATTTCTATTTGTTCACAAACACATTTCTATTTGTATTCATACAGAGGTTATATTGACTGCTTTTCATTAGTTCATTAGTTGCGTTTAAAATTATGGAGTAAATTTAGGTATGATCGCGCAGAGGGTATAAATTTATTCCGCTGTATTCTCTGAACAAATCATGCAGCTCCACTAGCATTCAGTATACATTCAGTGATGATCGTTAGTATTCACCGTTTTCAACAAAGAGAAAGTAAAAATTAACTCAAAAAGAGGTGTGTTGCCGACGATGAACATTCTGAGAGGAGAATGACAAGACATAAGTCAATGTGTAGTTGTAAAGCAAGACAACATCGCAGGCAGCGATGAGAGAAGTTGCACACAACCATGACATAGCGACACAAACATGAGGTGATTCAAAAATCAGTTGTATTAGGATCACACACTCCGCCTGCAAGTGCCAGGCGTAAAAGTGCCTCTGCTGGAAACGACACCGCTACGCGATGTCATTGAGCTAATTCACAGCAAATACATTTTGGTACAGAATGGACACCTCCAGCTGCAGAATGGGCACTCCATTTCAGTGCGAGGACTGGGAACAGGGAGATATGGCAATCCTTCACTTTCATGCACGCAGGATCACTTCAACACACCCAAGGCACTAGATTCCACAGGACGCTGAGATCAGTGCTAGTCTCATGTCCTGGACACTTTGCATCTCTATTCCTTCGCTTGCCTTCGCCACGCCTCTCTGCCCACCGCGCCGCGGCGGTTCCTCTACTGGGACGCTGGAGCTTGGCCTCCGGCGTAGAAAGTTCCTTGCTTGATGGCATCGGCGTTGGCATCTCCCAGTGCGGCGGAAGACAGATATTGTTCGGCGAGCTGTACACGCTTTACGTTCTGTTGCTCCTGCACCAACATTTCTCCGTACTCCATCAGCTTCTCGATGGTCATGGCGGGCTTCTCGAAGGTTGGGGGTCCGTTCTTGGAGTTCACCAAGTTCTTTCCGATGTTCTCCACTCCCGTACCTGCGATCCACTTCCTCACCTCGTCGTCGTACACACGCGCCCTCAGGGCACCGAAGAAATCTGAGTTACGAGATAGTTCAGGTTAGAATTCAGTCGAAGCCACAGTTTCAATAAATTAATATTAAACCAGCATCATCCAGCTGAACGCGAGAATCAGTAGGGCCTTTTATTACATACCGATGGACTGTCCAGGGAATTGGTCAACCAACTTGGTAACATTGTCGTCGCTGACGTTGTCCAATCTGAAGATACCCTTGCACACACCAATTCGGTCCTCACGGGTGGGCGCCCAGTAGAACTTCTCCATACGCCCATCACGGATCAGGGGTGCGTACAAAGTCGAGAAATCGTTTCCGGTCACGATGATTGGCACACGAGGGATCTCTTCCTTGTTGTACACTCCGGGCAGCTGCACGTTGGTGGGGCTGTCGGCGATGTTCATGAGGGTGGCGTTCACCATCTGGTTGTTGACAGTGTATTGGGTGGTACCTCCCATACGTCCAGCACCAGCGTCGAGATCGTTGATGAAGAGGGCGCACATCTTACCCTTCTTGATGACATCTGCGGCTTCCCTGTACCTCTGCCTGATGAGCTTGGCGGGTTCTCCAGCGTTTCCAGACTCCAGCTCTCCAGCACTCATGACGATAGGGTTAATGCCGAGCTTGGCCATAACAAGCTCACACTGGAAGGACTTTCCTTGACCCTTTCCTCCCCAGATACCCAGGATGAGGGGTACCTTGATACCAGGCAAGTTCATGAAGTTCTTGGCGATGTGAATAATCAACTTGTCCATGAAAGCAGGGGCAATGTAGAGACCGTCCTTCATGTTGTCGAAGTTGTAACTACAAATTCGCAAATTCCGAAAGAGTGAGCGACCATGGGTACATAATAGAAAGCAAAGGGAAGTACAAGTTTCATACCACCCACCAGAGCGTAAATGCGAATTAGAGAAAGAAAACTTTATACAACTAGTTGTTCAATAAGAGTGGATAGGTGAGAGATTTTCTTACGTCCTCTGGCCAGTACTAACGTAGTCCCAGGAGCTCATGGTCACAACCTGGGTTCCGAGGCCAACAGCGCCCTGGAAGAGGGCGTCCACCATACCCTTCCCCCGCTGGATGTCTTGCTGGTCATCGGAAATATCATTGCCGAGTCCAGCCCACCTGTCCACCTTCTTCTTCTTCTCGCCCTCAGCCTCGCACACAACACGGCTCTTGCCCTTGGCGACACCGAGGGTCACATTTGCGGAGACCTTACTCTTGCATCCCAAAAACGCAGAGTTGGGCAATGTGCTTTTTCCAACAACGGCCGACCCCACAGTGTTAACCTGCAAGAGAATGACATAGCGATGCCTACTTCATTAGCTTCCGCAATAGCCCACATTGTCACGACGACGGCAATTTGATACACACAAATCCACAAGTCAGCTCCTTTAAGCTTCCAGCCATGTCCCCAATTTTGTTCTAGATACCCATCACTGCACTATAGTGACGCTTGAGTCGCCCAAAAGCACCATGACCTCATCGCGATGTGCTGAAGGTACGACATTCGAAGTCTTCAAGCACACAACTCTCTCGTCACAGACCGTCACTGTGCAATGCTCGACTCAATTGACCACTCTCAAAAGCCAATGTGCAATTTCCCTGCCCCCTTCAACGATCGTCAACGTGTTGGTTTCATTGTAGACTAAGCATCGAAAGCATTCACCGACAGGACGGAAATCCACATGAAAGTGAGCCTCATTAGGGGCAGTACCTGGGCCACGGAGACAGACTGCATCGCTGCAACGCTGGTCGCCATTGTTACAGAGCTAAGGGCCTTGGATGTGAGAATCGACCGACACAAGTACCCACACGATCCCAAAAGCTTGCCTCCAAGACTAGGGAAGAGCTCGACGAGTTGTGTGTGCAGGTGTTCGACTGCTGAAGTAATATACCCAGCGTCGCACTTTAGACTGCCTGCTCGAGCCGGTCTCTGTGCCTCTGGATCACGCTCCACTCACCACCACCAGAACTCAAATCCATCCCATGTCAAGATCCCAAAACTGGACATTCCTCAGATTTGCCTACAATCTCGATAAAACGTACAAAATCGGCGAAAATATCTCCATTCGCGCTTGATGGGTGCATTCCAGCACCCGCCGTGGATCGCGAACCACAATCCAACGGGGCGCCATGTGGCGGGCACGCAACCGGACATGCCTTGTAGCCGGGTATTCCGTGATGCTATCCATTTTGTTTCGACGGCCGTCGAAGAAGCCGCACCTCTCAATGTTCACCAGTTGTGGATATGAAGGGGATCGACAGACGCACCTGTCGTTGTGTGGCTGGGATGGGATAGGGCCTTCTGGTGAGTGAAAGCTGGGGCTGGATGGCTTTTGCCCCGTGAAGTGTCTACGAATGACGGGCTGAGATTTTGCCTTTTTCTCCCCCCTTCGCTTGTTTTTGCTTTCTGGCCACATATGTTGTGTCAAGGGGGATCGGGACTAGATGGTGGGAAGGTCTTCGCCATGCCGGGACCTGTTGGCTCCGGGCTCCGAACCAATCAGTGGGTTGGTATGCCTCTGCCACAGTGGCTTTTCACATGGGAGCGGTGCTGTATTTGTGCTCAATTGGTGCAGAATTTTGGGAGGTTGGAAAGTTTTTGGGATTGATCATGTCTACGAGGACAGTTCTACGGAGTTCTTCCCAACACCTTCCACACTGAAGCGCTCCATGGATAATTCTCCTCGTCGTCCCTCATTCTGAACTGTGCAAAGTTTCAGGGTTGCGTTGACGTTTTGCGCGGGAACCGACGAAACCGCAGTTCTTCAACATCTTCGTTCCAGTGCAATTGCACACGATTTTTAATAAACTACATCTCCTTACTTCATCCAAATTATGACGAATTGGGTGATGACTAAGTGTATCAACTGAAGACCGTTGGCGTGACTATGTTCCTTTTGCATTTAAAAAAGAAGGGGTTCGGGTTGGAATTTACAGAGAATCGCTCGCCATTTGCTGGCCATTCATCTCAAACAGGAAGAGGTTGGCATCCACATCACGCTTCCTCTTCTTCTTCTTCTTCTTCTTCGTCGTCGTAGATAACGTAAAGCTAAGAGAAATGAGCATTCACAATCATTCAGAATCGTAACCAATCACCTCACAGATTCAATACAGAAATAGAAACTAACAAAGCACTCCGTTGGAAAACACCTCAACACATCACGAAGACCAGCTCGTGAAGATAATCATGGCATGCATGCATCGAAACTCATGCACAACCCAAGTACGAAATCAAGCCCAATGAAATCTGCATTCAAGGTGGCGAAGTCTTTTGCAGTACCGAAAAATCTCAATCATGTGAACCCAACTGTGCATTCCCCGTCAACCAAGGAACGTGGCCACCTTTGCTTGCGTTGGCTGCTCCATTGGTGAGAAACTCTCTGTTGAAACCAACCCGATTCTGCTCGTTACAGGGCCGTTGCAGTAACGGTCAGAGAATACAATGAAGCTTGAGATTAGTACATGATATCTCTCCGATGTTATTAAGCTGCATTACTGTTGATCCGAAGGCATGGTGTAATGTAGACCTATTCAAAAGCAGTGACATCTGGTAGGAGTACCGTAGCAGACGGTATGAGTCGCATTCCCTCCAACGTGCTGTCCATCAGCTGCGTGCTTGGCTTCGTGGACATGCAATGCGTAGAGTTGGTGATAGTAGTTCTTTGAGGAAAGTGGGTTCTAAAACCAACCTTCTTCACTTCGAGATTCAGTACCTTGGCCGCAAAACTCAAGCACAACCCAACCTCTGTAGTTCGATGAGATGAGGACAACCAGGCTCCGCGCGTCTAAAATTGCAGACTCTGCACTACAACCCTCTTCACAACACACAACTCGATTCTTGTGGATGACAGCTCTTGTTTGTCAACGGAGAAGAATAAACCTGGTTGGAGAAAGAAAATGTGCATGTTATTCCCATCTATCTGTGCTCTCTTCTCGATTAAGAATTAGAGTTTGGAACCCCTAACAACAATGGGTTCCTGCAGCGACTTGGAATAACGTTACACCCTCTTTCGGCAATGAAGACAACGATGATGTGATGCTGGGTGGCTGAGCCAATAGGTTTCTCGATTCATTGAGCTGTCGAAGACTCGCGAACAATCTAAACAACGAAAAGTAAGAAAATGACAAAAAAAGAAACCTTGATTTGCTTCTGTTTCTCTACTCAGAACACAAATCAGAGTCGTTCCAAGTCTTCTGGAATTGACAGCGAATGATCTACATTTGACGATGCAAACTGCACTTGTGCGATGCGATTTCGGAGACATAAAGCTTCTCACTCGGTTGCTCGTCTTCGGAATCTGATCCAAGCTTCCCAAGCAAACTGCTTACTTTTGTGAATACTTGTCCCATACCTTGGCCTTTCTCTGCAACAATTAACATACTCCTGTTGAGTTATTTCTTTACTTCTTCGAAAGCCTCAATCTTGGTCAAGAAATAAAGAGCACTTTTACTTTCTAACGTCTCTAAGTCGCAGTTTTTTTTTTTTTTTTTTTTTTTTTTATTTTATTTGTTGAGAATGTACAGTGACTAGATTTCTTATGAAGAAGGTGGTCTTATCTTAGTTGCAAATATTGTGAAGGAGAGATAATGGTAAGGGATTTGTATGGCAGAGAATTGTCATATTTGTGTGATAATTTATGAAAAGGGGTATTGGTAATACTATCACAATTTTTGTTATTGTCAGTACAATTTTTCATCCACCACATATCACCATAGTCTTGGCTACTTCCACTACAACTTTTTCTTATTAATTTTTTAGATATTTTTTATTGTGTTAAGTTTACTTTCTAAATGATTTGAAAAAAACCAAAACAAAACAAAACAAAAAAACAAACACACATTGATAGCATTGAAAAAATATTTAATTCGAAATAAAATAAAATAAAAATTTGAAAAAAAAAATGCTAAGTGGATGATATGTTGTGGTGGTAGTCGCAAAAATTGTGGTGGCATTAGCAAATTCTATAAAAATTATATTTAGCAAATTCATACATTATAGTATTATACATCATTCAAATGTAAGTTTGTCCATATGTGTAGAATATGAAAATTTTTATATGGGGTTTTGTGATCACAATTGCCAATAAACCAATAAATTTGAATCACTTTGCTAATGAAATTTGGATTATATTCATATTTTCACATATAATTTAGAGAATAAAATTAAGAGATCAATCAATGTTCAAGGGAGCTTCTTAGAATTGTGATATTCTTTTAGAGTATGAGATTTTGCGGATTTAAAATAGTCAACTTCAATAATAATAATAATAATAATAATTATTATTATTATTATTATATTTTAATATTTAAACTTTAATTTCTAATAATAAAGTCAAAATCATTAATAATATGCTTGGCATCAATAAGATTGGATACACTAAGGAAATTCAAGCATTTATAGGTATATTATATAAATTAATGTTTTTTTAAAATTAATAAGATTTTTTTTAATAATCTATTTAAAAATATTATATTATTCTTTGTTAATTTAAAACTTATAGCAAAACATGCCACAACTTAGACACAAGAGAATTGATAGTAAATTAAATGATATTATTAACAATATAAGCATAATTTTTTATACAAGATTATATTTAAATTAAGCAAATCTATAAAGAAATAAATATCATTTGATTTAGCAACGAATTTCTAGTATGTCCTATCAACTTCTCAAAAAAAAAATTGTTTTGATGATGTTCATAATGGATTTTATATACTTGGTCTTAGAATGCACTAAATACATTTAAAAATAATTTATTTAAGGAAAATGTTTTACTATTATTTACTAAAGTAATCTTAAGATACAATTTTTCTTAGTTTGGTTGTATTTTTTATTTTTTTATTAATTTTTATAATATATTTTCTTTTATTTCTATCTTTCTTAACAATTTTTTTTAATTTTATTGTGCATTTGCTTTACACTCATCTTAATCTTTTTTGTATTCTTATCTTAATTCTCTATGCATCTTTTTAAAAATTTTAATTAAATTAAATTAAATTAAATAATTTTTAATTAAAATTTTTAATATATTTTATTTCTTCTATAGTTTTTTAATGAAATTATTAATTTACATATCTATTTTAAAAAAATCTTCTCAAATCTAAATTTTATTGTAATTTTATATATTTATTTTTTATTTATAGATTGAATTTATTCAAATATATTATTGTTATTATTATTATTTTGACTTTGTCTAAACATTAATTTGTTATTGATTCAAAGATGTATATTGTATGTTATTACTTCTATAATGCAAATTTTATGTAAAATATTACAATCCAATTTTTAAATGCTATAATTCATTGTAATTACTAAAGATTTTTGTTATATTATTCTTGTTATAACAACATGGTGTTATGACATTATTCTTTGATGCCTAATATTTTTACTAATTAGTGTAACTACAATGCCCCAAACATCTTCATATTGATTTTATACTTAATTAAAAAAATTTATATATATATATATATATATATATTTATATATATATATAATTTCTTACAAATATGTAAAATTAATGTGTCATTATTAAAAAAATTACACTTGTGAACATTTTATCATTAATTTTTTTTTTTATCTATATTTTTAGGTCATATCTATATATATATATATATATATATATATATATATATGGAGTTACTAAAGAAACATCTCCATATTGTTAATATGACACTTCCTTGGATTTTCAAGTTTTTTTTAATCCAGGTTCTAGTCCTTGTTTTAATCCTCCGACCCCATAATCCCTTTTTCCAATCCTTGTCTCTAATTCATATCCCATGTCTCCAATCCTTGACCCCTTCATCCATCTTTTCCAATCCATGTTCATATTCTCATATTGTAAAAAATAATATATAACTTTCAAAGCAATTCATGTTTCTTACTTAAAAAACCAATCCTAAATCCCAAAGTCTCCAATCATGGATTTTTCATATTATGTTTATTTCAAAAGTCTTGCACATTTAAAACTTTATTTAGAAAATTCTAGATTCCACAAATACACAAAACACAATCAAATAATCCAACAATGTTTTAGTCATAGAACAATTATATATATATATATATATATATATAAGGTTATTATTGTCATCCATAATTATAAAGAATAAGAACAAGAGATGAGCACTAGGAATAAGGACAAGGAAGTTAGGAGAGAAGGTTGTGACAATGAATCTAGATGGAGAACTAGGAATTAAGAAATTGGAATGACAAACTCAGGATTGGAAATTAGGGGGTTGAGATGGGATATGGAGGATTTGAAATTAGTGATATGAAAGAGAAAGTAGGTATAGGGGATAGACTAGATTAATCATGAGAACCCAAGGAAGTGTTATATCAACAATATGTTGCTTTAACAAATCCCTATATATATATATATATATATATATATATATATTTGTATTGTACAAAAGTCTTAAATAATTAATATTAAATTAGAGATTCAATACTTATTTTTAATTGTTAGTGTTATAAGATTAGATGTAAATATAACTATCTATTAATGGATACATATTTGGCTATATAATTCTTATACTTAAGATTGACTTGTCTATATTATCTATATTAAATTAGCTAAGAATGTAGTACTAAAAATAGTTATACAATCACATCTCTTTTTTGTACCCAATTAAAGTATTAAAAGTTGTGATCATGTGTTTAAGAACCATTGATAATGTCTAAAACTTTGAAAATCAAGCAATTTTAACACACACAACAATTCAAAAGTTTAGTGAAGATTTAGACACAACAATTGATGATTAATAAAAGAATGAAGTATAAACAAATTAAAATCATAAATAAAATCAAAATAAAATAAAATAAAACTATTGTATTTATAAAAAGAAACCAATGGGCGTAATACTTTATCTAAGATCTTAACTTAAATACTAAATGAATACATAATTTTCAATCTCCACTACAATAACAAACTTCCAAAGTAGAAAGCAACCATAGTATTGACTAAATCTTAAAAAAAAACTCATTATCCTAACATTCACTTATTTAATAAACAACACTTTTAATTTTATTCCTATATTAGATAAATTATTAATATTATAATTATCTCTAAAATAATTCTTTCAATTATTTTGGAAATCCCATCGTAAGAATACCTTGCACAAATTCCAATCTAATTGTGTAAAATCTTAGATTCAACTCAATATAAACTTCAAGCACACATAACCTCATTACCAATAGAACTTTATTTTGTTCTTAATTTTTACTATAAGCAACTCTTTATTATCTTTATATGTCCTTAAATCTTTATATGTATACATTTAGACATATGCATAAATATACATGTACTTCACATTACTTGATGGAAAAAGAATTAGGAAGAAAAAAGCAAGCAAAGTAGAGTTATCACATAAGCAATCTTACATGTCCCAAAAGTTCATCATGAACAATGACCAATAACCAAAAAAACATAATGTTTTTTAATTTAAAAAACTCGGATCTATGACCTGTATATTGCAATTCAAAGTAATTAAATGTGAGAATCAGAATGCAAAACAGGTTTATTCCTAGAATGTGGCATCATTGTTAAAATCTCCAAAACTGTAAGAGAAGCAGAACTGTCACCATAAATGAACAAGATTTTCAATTCAAGGGTTGCTCCAAGCGTTTCCATAGACATCTTAATTGCAAACGGTCGAACAGAAATTGGACACAAAACTACATTGAATGTAGGAGATAAAAATGTGATTCAAAAGAAACAAATCTTTGACTACATTGTATACATGAAATATAGAGCCTAAGCATTTACTCAGTAAAAGGGTATAATATAATGCATCGGAGAAGATTATGAGGATCTGAAATTTGAAATATGTAGGTTTGGGGTAGTAAGGGGCAAAGTGGAACATTCGGTATTTCGGTTGAAGATTCAAAAAGAAAAGCTTATAAAAGCTAAGATATATTAACATGCGCACTGCTCTGTAGAAAGATGACTCAAATTTGAATTCAAAATACCTCAAATAATGAACTGTAGATGTTTCCAGAGATGCTTCCATTAAAAATATCATTTCCTACGCTTACTTGATTTCATGCCCTTCTCTGCAGGTGCACCACCTGATAGCTTCTCCTTCTCATGAGATTTGTTATTTTTTTCTCTGAGGCTTCTTTCCCACTCATCTTTCACGCGTTGGTACAATGCCATTGCCGCCCTTGCATCCTCAACCTATTTGCAAGCAAAATTAGTAGCCTGAGATCTTTGCCATACTAATCGCAACGAAATGCAGAAATGCTTCCAGCAGCTTTAAAGAATTTTGAAAAATTGAACTCGCAATTCAAAGGTACAGGAAGAGCGAAGTGGCAATACACAGTTGACGTTGGAATAGAAACATATCTGAAACAGATCAAGGTCCCGACACAACCGTCCAAAGCTTACTCGTCCATCCGGAAAAAGATTAAGAGACAAAGACAATACAACCACGCAGCTAAAAAGAATGAAAAAGATAGAATCAGAAAAGAGGCGTACCGAGTTGTGTTCGCCTTCCTGAATTTTGGCACCAAGATGTAATGACGCTAAATGTTGAAGAGATCTAGGCCTTCCATTACTGCAGAAAACACCACAACCAATGTTGGTTACTTCCATGTCTTCTCATTTGTTGCTGTGGAGCGTATTGGGAAATTCAAAGATCACCATAGAACACGCACAGAAATTATGAAAGTTGATTTCCTCACTTGCAATAGGGAGCGTAACTATGTGTGTCTCTTATGAACCTTTTTGAATGAGTCAACATCAAAACCTGCACACAGAAACACAAGCATCCTTGTAAAGAATACACGAAAAATTCTAAGTCAATATGCTTCAGATATCAAGCAAAAACTTCACTGATTTGGAAACATTATGAGAACATTCCGCTAACCTTTAAATCATTATGAACTGCATGCCCAACTAGGACGCGCCCCTTCAGGAGTTCCATAACTTCTTTCTGCACTGTGTACAAATCTTGCGCTGCACAGGTTAAGAATAAAGATGCGTCAATCCCAAGTGATGGACAAGAGTGGCGATGACAGCAATAAGAATGTGCAGCACTCTTAAAGCAAGAGGCGAAATGGAGCATTCACTGACCATGTTTTCATTCAGATTAGAAGGAAACAACAGAACTTCCGATCAAAGAAGAAATAGAGAAATTTGACCTGCTTAGTGTGCGAAATCCCTAGTACGCTAACATTCTGAGAATATGATAACTCAAGTAACGAAATGGATTAAAAAAAGCCAAGCATAGCACCTTTGCGTAGATCCCGGGATCTAACTCCACTCACTGCAGTTCGAAAGTCCTGAACGTATTCTTGAGGTCGAACATACTTATCATATACCAAATTGCCCCACTGGTTCACCTACACTATTGCAAGCAATCAACATTTTCACCAAGCACAGACATTTCATATTTCAAAAGACATAAATTATTTACGAAATGTTTCTTCATAAGAAGAGTATACCGAATAAAAACACAAGCTTAAAATACGTGTACTTTCGTTTTTGCGCTTAGACGCACTCCACTGTTGGAAAACCCCTCAGTGAGAGACACAAACAATATGTGTGAACAGATAGGGCGAAGAAATATACCAAGGAAACCCGCGCAAGTGCATTTCTCTTCCCTCCGTAACCAACCCCAACCATTTCGCAATCCAATGCCAAAGCTTTTGTCAAACTGATCCATCCATACACTTATTTTCGTCAACCTTCATTCCAAAATCTCGCACTGACCTTCAAAATATCTTTCGATGTGAGGACACAAAGAAAAATTTAAAAGACCTCTGAAAGGTCTGGCATGAGTCCTTACCTCATGTCATCGTTGCTCGGTAGAAGGGCTGAAGCTGTCGTGTTGACTTCATTTGTTTTAATTGTATCTGAAGCAGCCTCCGCTACTCTGATTTTTTTTCTAGAAGATGCTCCAATACTTATCCCTAACGTCTGAGAAATGAAATAAGCGAACGGTTGGCAATGCACTATGCAGATGAATTCCTTAAAAGAATGTGACTAGCACGTACGTTGCAGGAAGGAAGTAATGGCCCACAACTTATCTAGCATATATGCATTAAAAAATCTCACCAAACCTAATTGAAATACTTCAGAAATAGATAGGAGGGAAACTCTTTGCCAACACTACTGTGAAGGTGAAATATATCCAAGGACTACGTCAATTTCAATGCGATTATTTGGTCGCCTATTAATCAAACAACCCTATAATCTCCTGAACAGGTTAAGTAAAAAAACCACGTGCATGAGCAGCTGTTTCTTCCACCAACGATCTCAGTATCACAACTACACTACACAATTGCGTGAGCCCCTGAGTGAACGCAACAGCAGCAGAATCAAGAAGATCTAATTCGCTACGCTGACAAGACACAATTTGTACAACAGCTCTTAATGCCGTGACCTCCGATAATCATAAATTCACCATTCCACAACGATCTCAAGAAAAATTTAGTTCACTCGCCTAAATTCTATGCTAGATACCCTAAAATGCAACCACGTCACAGGCATACAACCTAACAGTCGAAAACACTTTCACTAACTCACTCATCGCCAAAAACCTCGTCATATGAACAGCATCGGCATTGATCGAGAGGGGCCAGGCACACCTACTGATTGCAGCTGCATCCAATTGCTGCTCACGACTTTAGGCGCAGCAGGCTTGCCCTTCTCGCTACTACTACTGCTCTGCCCCTCCTTCTTGGAACCAATGCCGCCATTTCTTTCCAAACGGCCAGCAGTTGATGGTTCTGTAGTTGTAGCTTCGATAAGCTTCCTCTTCTTCGTCATGACGATGATCAGCAACTGTGGAGAAATCTCAACAGCAGAATTAAATCGTGGCGCAACAACGCAACTTCTCTTGAAGCTTTGCAGTAGTGCAGGGCAATTGACCTTAAACCCTAAGCCCCTCAAGCCAAGCGACGAACGTCGTCGGTCATAAGATATTTGATGGATGGATGAAATATTTCATTCATTCCGCTCGCTTCGGGTTCTCAACATCACTGAGTATTGGAATTTTAATTAATTGTATGCATATGTAGTTGTAGAACCCCCCCCTAACTCGAACCAGTATTTTGTATATTCCATTAGTTGGTAATTTTCTTCGAGGGTAAGTATGGATGGAAATTGATTGTTGTTAGCTTCCATTATTTAAATAGTTGCATTTTGTTGTTGATAACATATTTGGGAGTTACAATGATATTTTCTTAAGAAAGTATGTGTGTGATGTAGTAATTGTTATGATTAAGGGAAAATATATGCACTGCAAATCAATGTTTTGAATGTGGTCTGAGTAACAATACAGTACAATTTGATCCATGTAACTTGGCCAACAAAATTGACACATTGTTTTCAGATGACATAATTTTTTATTCTTTATATAAAAAATTATTAAATCAATATACATATTTACTAAATTGATTCACCTATCATTGCTGGTTGCAGATCCTAAATTCAAACTTGTTCCAGAGAAAATATGATGTGCAAATTAAACGTCCACCAATCAACTTTTAACAAAAACAGAATTGAAATCAAAGTCATTAAAATTGCATTGCAATTATCATGTGTAAATATCAAATAAAATAATTCTTTGAAATCATTGCATTTCAATACATTGAAATCCTGGAGCTATCCCACATGGAATCTCAAAAATGCCTACCATGTTGATCCTTTAACCTACAGTTGTGGGCTTTTGGATTATTTGTTGCATATAATCTATAGTAAAGAATTACATGTGCACGAAACTAATTTTGCAAATACCAAATTATGAACAAATTACTACCTGGAATATTCTTTTGTATTTTGCAAGCAGAAAAATCTACTGCTTAAATCATTCAAAGAGTCTCTTTTTACTCATAAAACAAAGAATGAAAGAACAGAGCATTTTATGCCAAGATATATATTGGATACAAATAATGACCAGTTTGGAAGCCTTACCATACCAATTAGTTTGTAAGAACATAACATTGACAAGACCTTGAAAAGTTCTAACATAGTGCATGTTGTCTTTTTATCAAAAAGTAAAATGAAAGTAAGCCAATATTTTACAAAAAAAAAAAAAAAAAAAAAAAAAAAAAATCTAACTAGATATATACAAAAAAAAATTAAGCTTGGAAATTAATCTAAAAACATATATAAAGTTTTCTCCATTTGCCAATATCATCAAAGGTGGTGTGGTGAAGACATGATAAAAATCATTCTTATCATAACCCTACAATCTATGTTGATTGTTTTTGCCTTGATGACCACATGACCTTGCTTTGCTCAATCATATATACTCATGTGCCCTTATGAGACACATTGCCTGTGTTAATTACCTGTGTTAATTACTAAAATTCAATTCAATTATTTATTTTGAATTAGATATTATTAAGCACTTTAGAACATATTTGGTTCCTTAAATTTTGATTAATTATTGGAAATTATTAATTTTCGAAAGATTAACTATTCAAAAGAACACTACATGTATGTACAAAATTAATTGTAAGTAATGTAACAAATTAAGTAAAAATACAAATTTGGAGTCAAACATTAAAAACAAAAACATCTTTTGACAAAACATCAAAACAAAAACAAAAACAAACAGTGAACATACTCACAAAAGTAGCAGATTAGCTTAACTTCACAAGGTATGTAAGTCAAATTTGATACAAGAATATAGAATGTTGCAATGAATTGTGAAGTGCTTAATGCTGCTTACATATTGTTTTTGCAAGATGTAAGATCATAAATAATCATTTGTTGAGGTTGTTGTTTTATTATATTTATTATATTTATTTGCTTGATATGAAATAAATAAGGTGGGTCTCTTCATGTGATTTCTTCTTATTTCTATTATTAGAATTGATATATAGATTAATATTCAACTTAAAATAACATCATTGGTATCTATTCACAAAGTTCCCTCATTGGTTGAATTTCAACTAAATAAAGAATGAGTAGTAGCTTCAAGCAATTCCTTCGTTGATTGATTTGTCACTTGTATATGATCTTCTTAAGTTTTTGAAATAAGTTTTTCACCAAACAATATGCAATTTAAGGCATTCATTCTATCTCACCTAAAATGATACTTGTCATTTTGGGTGAGAAACAATGAATTACTTAAATGTCATGTACTTCTACATGTCATTGTATACAACTTAAAATTAATAGAATGTCATTGTCTAGCCATTGCCATTTTAAAAATGATACCATAGTGATTGATGTAGATTATGAAGTCATTGTGAATATATATATATATTTTTTACAAACAAATATAAAATATAATTTGAGAGCACCTTTTACCACCTTGTGTTAATTACATATTTTGTTAGTGCAATTTTAATTGATATGCAACAATATAATAAAAATAAGTGACCATCACATATCATCATATATCAACAGATACTAACATTGCATTCAATATGTAATATAGCAACACATCATCTTATACAATTCATAATAAGGAGTAAAACCCACGTAAAAATCTGAAAAACGAAAGATTACATTATGTTTAATACTAATACAGATTTAGATTCAATACAAAAGCATCCTTGTTGGTTCCAACGAGATGGTTTGTACACCACAAACTTACAAACGAAAGAAAATAAAACAATAGGAAAAAGTAACACAAAAACCTTACAGACAAAAGAAAAGAATAAAAGTCAAAAGTACCGAACAAAACAAACAGAAAGCAAGAGAAACATGCAAGACAGTTTTCAGAAGCAGGGATGGATGAACATTATCATGGGCCAAGGCCATCAATATCTGTCTATGGATGAAAAAGTCAAAAAGTCAAAAGTAAAACTAAAAGTAAAAGATACTGATGAAGAGCACGAGCTCAGGAAGCAAAGGCTAACTTGCACGCCACCGCTCTCCGGCACGGAAACGGAATCTCATGCGAACGAATGAAACCTTATCAAACGAACAGAATCACAACACGACGAATGAACGACATTCCGGAATCTCCCACTTTTACGGATCCAAGAAATCCGTCGGTCCATCACGTTGATAATTTTTCATCCTTAAATGATGCGAAATTGTGGATGTGGAAGAAATTGGACGATAGTTGGAATATCATTCATACCACTCGGCACAGGCTTTTCTATGAAAGGTCGGAGTTCCAGAGTTTCGGGGCAAGCTCAAAGCAGCGATCTCGTTGTTGGGGCTGTGCAGTAATTGGAGTGCCACTGGAATTCGCTGCGGGAGGGAGAGGAGTGAGTGAGATTGTTGTTGGGTTTGCGTTGGCGATGGCGCCCATTCGGCATGGGTTGTGGGTTGCGCTGTGTGTGCTCAGCGCAGTGGCGGTATGTCAGGGCCGAGGGCTGCCGCTTCTCGAGGCGGAGATCGCCATGGTGACCGATCTCGAGGCTTTGGCCTCGACCTCGGCCGGGCTGTTCACGGAGATTCTTGGGCACTCTCGCGATGTCTTGCATTTTGCTGGGTTCGCTGCGAAGTATGTCTTTTTTTCTCCTCTTTTGTTTGCTCGATTCTTGGTTTGAGGACTGTTTGGTTGATGCTGCATGTTTGGGAGGAGTTGTCATCGTTACGTTAGTTGCAACATTGGCGATTTTGTTCGCTTTTTTTTTTTGTGTGTGTTTGTGTTTTTGGTACAGCAAGATGCTCTGTGTCCAACAGCTCTTTCTGTGGTAGTGGTATGTTTGTGTGTGACCTGGCCTTTCAGGTCGCTGAAGCTATTATCTGTAGCATACTTAAGATGAGTTTTGACGTACTGTTGTGCAGGTACAAGAAGGAATACAAGACTGTAGAAGAGCTCAAGCACAGGTTTGTGACGTTTTTGGAGAGTGTGAAGCTCGTGGAGACCCACAACAAGGGACAGCATTCCTACTCGCTCGCTGTGAATGGTACGCGATTTCTCTTTCAGTTTTTTATGTTCGAGGTGTGTTTGATAACTGTTCCTAAAGTCTTAATTTCACCCCTGTAATTCGCGTCGTTGCAGCCCGTGCCCAAGATTCGCTTCCAAATTGTGTATTGTTCGCATTGAACATTGTACCCAAAATTCAGGCGGCGTCACAGTAGAACTTCCTTTGTTTTGCCCATCGACTAAGAGTGTTTGCAATCGACACAGGGGGTTCTTCGTCTTGAAGCGTGATTAGCGTGAGGAGACGCAAGTGCAATCAATTTGATGTGGTTTGTGGATTTGCAGAATTTGCGGACATGACCTTTGAGGAGTTCAGGGATTCAAGGCTGATGAAAGGTGAACAGAATTGCTCGGCAACTGTGGGCAACCATGTGCTGACTGGCGAAAGCTTGCCAAAGACGGTACGTCGCCCACTAATTTCGACATCGAGCTTGTCTGCCGCATTCAATGAGCTGAAGCGGCTAATTTCACGATAGTTATTATTTACCGTTGCATTGTACTTGGATTATTTCATAAGAGTCATTTGAGAACATGTTACGCTTGGACTAAGTTATTGCCTCGAGATTATTACTGTTTTTTACCCTACGGCATTCTTCCCCTGCTCGTACCTGTGTCGTGGTATGCTGAAGAGCCTTCTGTTACACTTGCAGAAAGATTGGCGTGAAGAAGGTATTGTAAGTCAAGTGAAAAATCAAGCTAGCTGCGGTTCCTGCTGGACATTCAGGTAATGTGTATCTTAGTAATCATAAACGATGATGTGCATGCTTTCGCATCGTTAAAGCAGGGTTTGGTTATTGAATTTTAGACTGTATTATGAATCACATTGAAATGATTGGATGAAGGGTTACCAAGAAGATGTGGATGCTTTTCTCATTATCAGTTAAATTTATGCCCCTGACATTGTTCCTTTTTCTGAATATTCAGCACAACTGGAGCTTTGGAAGCAGCTCATGCACAAGCCACTGGAAAAATGGTTCTCTTGTCTGAGCAGCAATTAGTAGATTGTGCTGGGGAGTTCAACAATTTTGGATGTGGAGGAGGACTTCCTTCGCAAGCATTTGAGTACATTCGGTACAATGGCGGAATAGACACAGAAGATTCATATCCTTACAATGCCAAAGACAGTCAATGCAGGTTCCACAAAAACACAATTGGCGCGCAAGTTTGGGATGTCGTCAATATCACTGAAGTAAGGATTACAACTTTGTTGAAGTACATTACCAGTCGTTTATCCAGAAGCTGTTTGAGGTGTTGTGTGAGGTACTAGAATCTTCCTGCAATGAGTCAACTTCGTAACAAAACAATTCAGCTTCACTGAATTGCTTGATTTGGTGTGCACAGGGTGCAGAGACGCAGCTGAAGCATGCTATTGCTACAATGCGGCCAGTGAGTGTGGCTTTTGAGGTGGTCCATGATTTTAGACTGTACAATGGTGGTGTGTACACTAGTCTCAACTGTCACACTGGTCCACAGGTGAAGTATTGTCTCTCCTTCCTTGTCTACAATTTGTTAAAAGTAGGATTCATTTAATACTCTCATTCAGCTTGAGAACTGTTCATCAGTTGGATCCTGATAACATTCTCACTGAGCTCACAATTATTGATATTCTCTAACTTTTATTTCTCTTGGGTTTTGTAGACGGTTAATCATGCCGTGTTGGCTGTGGGATATGGCGAGGATGAAAACGGAGTACCTTACTGGATCATCAAGAACTCCTGGGGTGCTGACTGGGGGATGAATGGTTATTTTAACATGGAAATGGGGAAGAATATGTGTGGTGAGTCTTCGTTAATGTGATCTTTGTGTTGCTTTTGTTGCAACTCACCTACTTGGTTGTAATTTATTGGGAATACATTGAGTGTTTATTGTGCATCGCAACACTTATAAAGTCCACTGCTGATTAGCTTTATCGTATTCATTTTATCGTATTTTGGAATTTAATTATTTGTTTATTTATTGGTCTCGCGTAGCTTTCGTCAACGGAGTCAATGGCGCATGCTGTGTGCAAGTTGTCAAATTTCAATGACTATTGATCAATGTGCATCGTTGCTTGCAGGTGTCGCAACATGTGCATCATATCCCGTCGTCCCTGAAGATCTCAAGGAGGGAGTGTAAATGACTTACTTTCGCAACTGTATACACAGTTCGTACATAGTTGCACACTACTCTCTTCATTATGAAGGTGCACGTCGTATGACTGGTATAGGATTCTGCGATCAAGTTAATGAATTGCGTGGCCTTTCTGAGTATATTGAAATTGAAATAGCCAACCTGTTGTAGAAAAGTGTTGTAAATATTGTAACTCAGTTATTTTAGGTTGAGTAGCTTGATGGAAATTGCATATTGTGCCAGTAATGAACAAGTCTAGGTGATACTTGGATCTTAGTGCACTTGGAAAGCAAGGTTTCATTTCTCATGCATGTGTACGTTGCTGTCTCTAAGATGGTTAATGCAATAGAGAATTTTAAGCGTATTTTTACTCATGATCCAATTGAATTGTCCCAAACGATGTTGAAACTTTAGCTGAAGGTATAGAACTACGTCGTATTGGTAAAACTTCATTGTGCGAATATAAGATTCACGAAGCCCGTGATGTGTATGAACTATGTATTACAGTTTTGTATTGTACAGCATGAGAGAATATGGAGTTTCACATGTGAATATTAATAAGATATGAAGAGTAGTTTACATTTTGAGGCCCCAGTGCTTTACTGCATGATGGAATCATGGCCTAGATTTTTGGCAAGTTGACTGAATCTGGTATACACATCTCATCTGACGTCATTATTATTACTATGTATGGTCTGTAAGCCTCTGGATATTACTTTCTAGCGTTCTACGCAGATGCCAAATTTGCAAATAACCACTCGAAATGAGTGGTGCCAAGATGGGCAAAAGTCGTATCTCACATTCGTACTAGTTAATTCGTATGCTATCCTCTAGGAATTTTCAACTCAGAAAGCTAGGCCATGATTCCATCATGCAGTAAAGCACTGGGGCCTGAAAGAGAAGATCTAAATTGACTGTTACTCGAGCAAGCAATATGTGTTCATGCATTCTGGAGGAATTCTTTTGTTCGTGTATATCACGGTACATCTCCTGAATTCGCTGCTTCGGTTCGGTACCTTGCCAATACAATGACCGCTCGTGCATAATATCGCATAATTTGCTGCTGGATGACAATAAACAGTTCCCTTCAATTTGATTTTATTGTGTGAACTCACATATATCTGCAGCACAAGTATTAGGTATGAATGACTAAATTCGGAGTAAAGAATTCCTAAATTAGTGCAACACTTGAGCTCCACAGAACGTTGCTCACTTGGACTTTTCTCACTTGCGGATGAACCGTAGGGTGAGGAGCTTACCCTGGGCACTTTGGCAATGCTTGTTGCAAAGCTTGGTAAACCCTCGTTCTCATTTCACCGTCCACCTTAATTGACCCCAACGCAGCAGAGAACTCGTTCTTAATTCACAAACCTCAGATGAACTGCTTTCGGTGATGAACCGAGTCTGTCAATGAAATGTGCAAGTTGTGTGAATGATTATAAAGTGAAGAAGGATATGCATGCCTTACTGTCATACTGACGAAGGGAGGCCTCTGTAGGGATAAGAATTGGGAAAAGCCACAATTCTGGCTTAGCCATCCGATAGACAGATTAGCTAGGAATTAGGAGGGTTATCGTGTATGTTACCGCTGAACTAATATAAGAACCCTGGCTTGTGTCAAGGTCACAGGCACTTTTTGGTACTATTCATTCATCTCCATGGCCTGCGTTGGTGGCCATCCTCCATCTCCCTCCGGATGTTCCGCGACCGTATATGTTCGGCACCGTGCGGCCACGGCTGTCTGAGAGGTCGCCTTAGCAGGCTCCCGTCGCACCCACATCCATAGCTTCATTCGTCGCGTTAAGGCAGAGAACATGATTAGAGCACGTCCAAACGTTTGGTGGAGACGCCAAGCATGCACTCATTCTTTGAGCGTTCTTGTACGAAACATGACGATTAGGACTAACCTAGGATTTGTAGGGATCCATGGCCGCTGAGGAACTGCCAACCTCCGACATATTCTTCACGCCCCTTGGAAGTCCAACGACGATTTTGAAGGTACTCGCCGCCTGGAATCTGGAATCTAGAGAGAACTCGTCGAATATCAACACACGACATGCATCCTCTTTCCTAATATCTTTGCGACAAGAAACAACGAACAAGCAATCGAGTTCCATCAACGTGAGTATATTGCGAGGAAGTGCGCATCACACTTCAATCGCTGCAGTCGGTGCACTTAGACTCATGACCCTCGTAGAAGTCTCGATGCACCACAGCTTGGGAACAAGAAGCCAACCATTCGCTAGGAGCATCATCGTATATCTGCTCAGTGGTTCCCTTTGCTTACACTTGCATCAAGTCTCGAAAACGACCCCAACTCAAGAGAAGCGCCCAACAACATCCCCATGACCCCCGAGGTACATCCTGGCACATTCTTTTTGAGTGTGGGCAAATGACCTAAGGATCATCCCGGGCATCATTGACCCCTTGCATACCTTGGAATGGGACGTGGGCCATACAAGCAACGCTGCATTTGGTCACTTCGATACCCTCCTAGCAGTGCGAGAAGAAGAACATCTACATTTATCTGCTTGGCAGGGGACGAAGGACATGTTCATCAAACGGAGAGGAGCCCACTTTTCCAAGAGCTTCGTTCAACTCGATCTGGAAGTCCGCAAGACCTTCTGGACGGCGAACCCCATTTACAGAGAAACCAACTTGTGGTGAGTCCTCAGTCCTGGAATTGTGTATCACATTCTTCCTTGCACTGTGAATCATGTCAAGCAGCAGTCGGCCAACTAAACTTGAAGTTTCGAGAGAGCTGCAAAGCACGGGCATAGACAGCCCCAACATTCAAATGTCCACGATGGAGGGATTCGGTCTACATCTGCCAAACATCACCATAATGCAAAATCAACTTGGAGCACTAATAGCAACAACCGGGCTTATTTCAGTGGTCACTCCCTCCTCTCTTCCATCCAACAACCCCACACAACAAGCCGTCTCAAGGATAGAGGAACTTCGTCGGTCGCTTCTCATACTAGCTCCCACTGAGATTGTTGATCTCTTCCTCGAACGCAAGATATATTGCATTGTCGCACTAGTAGTGTGTGGCATAGAGCAACTATTGGATGCGGGATGACACAGACCTCTCCTATTTCAACAACCACAACCCTAGTCACACTCTCGACTAGACATGGGAAAACCACCAGCATTGTCATTTCTAAGGTATAAATCTCTGGACGATGATTTTTTGGCATTTCTTCGAGATGTCAACACTATCGTTGATGCCTACGCTACACCAGAAACATACCGCATCTCCCAACTTCGATCCAGTTTAGGTAGAGATTCCAAAAATTTGTTCGAATCCCGCGCCGACATGTCCTCACTTCATATCTGGCTCCAGGTGCAACAACAAGCGAAGATGTTGTTTGTGCCCATGGACTAGAAGAACTCAGCTTGGGATTTCTTCACATCCACTAAATATAAAACATCTCAAACATCAACCTGCATTTTTCACGCTTTGTGAAACATGCCAAGCTCGCCATGGGAGATGATGGCAAGTTCATGCAATAGACAATCCACACACACTTCATCCGCTCCCTTCTACCGGACCTGATGAGAGAAGCGAGAATTCAGCAATTCGTAAGTGATGACTCCATGCTCACTCAATGGCAAATAGCCCCCCACACTCGATCAGGCGGTACTGATTCCACTCGAACTCTTCAAAAACGACCCTTTCTCTATGGTGTATGTCGGGAAGAAGGGCACGGTTACTTCATGTGCCCCCTACGACCCTTACTACACCAGATGCTCTCCGAGCTGCAGAGCCTGGCAGCGCAGTAGCCTGACCACCCTTTAAACTGAAAATCGCCCCTCCCCATGGCACGGGGGCAATCACTACCAGCAGTCTACAAACCATTGTCATGTCAACTTAGTTTCACTCCCTCAATTATAAACCTCCATCTCGCACCTCAAGATCATCCAACCCTAGGTGGTACAAGGATTGATCAACGGGGTCAATTGCCCTGCATCGTGGGCACTGGATGCAACTTGACCGCTATTGTGCTGTCCCTAGTCAAACTTCTAAACCTCAAAACTTCAACAGATTTGTACGTGTCCATTGTAGATGGCACCTTGTACACATTTTTGGAGCTAGTATCCATTCTAATATCCATGGAAGGCTGGTGCATAATAGTGGAAGTATTAGTGAGCTCAAGCAACAAGGTGATGTTTGTCTTACTTCCAAAAATAACCATTATTTGTCTTACTTCCAAAAATTTAAACCATGAGACAAAGCCCTCTATAATTGGTCTCATTGACATACATTTATTCTAATAGTTATTTAAATAATATGATAAGGTAGAAGTAGGTAAAAGTAGATTAATTTCATAATATCTTCTAGAAAAGCTTCCTAAAAGCTTTATAGATGTGGTTTCATCTTTATACATGTCTATAGGTGATTGGTAGGTTGAAAACTTAGCCAACAAATTAGCCACATATCACATGTATTGGTAGCTTGTGGTACAAGCTAATAATATGGAGTATATATAAGAAACTTACTTTACAAGTTAAGACACATGTCTTGCAAATTGAACACATATTAGAGGTCTTATAAAAAATTACCATATAGCTCTTACATAGATAATATATACAGAGACAAGAGTGAAGCCTTGTTCATTCTTGTCAACACCTTTCTAGTCTTTACTCTTGTTTCAAGTCTATTTAGTCTTCTTGTTTTTGACAAAAGCCATCCTAATTGAATATGTTACCATCTTTGAGTAATTTTCTAGTCTTTTTGAATGACATAAGAATGTATTGAGATTTTCTTTCTTTATAATTCATATTCTTGATAATTTGACAAGAATGCTAACTCATTATTCTTCTTTTGTTTTTAGAAGTGAGTGGATTATTTTACTTCTGTAACTGTGCTTCAAAGGTTGTGGACTATCTACCTTTAAATTAATATTTATTTTTTTAATATATATATATATATATATATATATATATATATTTTAAAGTAAATAGACTAACAAGTATAAATTTTTATATGATATTAAAGATTACAAATTATCCTCGTATAATTTGACTTGTAGATTTGTTAAATTATTTAAAACAGAAGAAAAAATCACGGATGCTATACTTCGTAAAGTAGAAAATAGATTTGCAACTATTGTAGAACTTGATAGGCTTGTCAATACTCTTAGGGTAGAAATTTCGTGCATCATCAATGCCAGCTACAAAAGTACTATTCCTATGCTTATGAAAAAGTCTAGAATCTGTATAAAAATGTTGTACAATTGAAAGAAGCAAATAGATCAAGCTCACAACCAAATTTAAAAAATCTTGCTTCTATAAGTACGACAAAGGTTGAAAACTTTGTCAAAAAATTAGCCATGTATTACACATATTGATAGCTTATGTTACAAGCTAATAATGTGGTATATATATAGAAAAATTACTTTATAAGTTAAAACATGTGTTTCATAAATTGAATATGAATCAGAGGTCCTATAAAATATTATTATGTACCTTCTAATTAGATAATATATATAGAGATAAGAATGAAGCCTTGTTCTTTCTTGTCAATACTTTTTAAGTTCTTAATATCATTTCAAGACTTTTTAGTCTTCTATTCTTTGACAATAGCTATTCTTGTTCAATATATTACCATCTTTAATTGATTTCTTAATTTTTTTGAGTAATATAAGAGTATATTAAGATTTTATTTTTTTGAGATTCATATCTTTGATATTTGGCAAATATCTCAATCTAATTATAAGAATGTTGCCTCCATCAAAATACAATACATGTCTACTCTTCTTTGACCATCTTAATCTTTTGACATCTTGTCATATATATATATATATATATATATATATCTATTGTAATTATTATCTAGATAATACGAATAGGTAGAATTAGATAAAAATAGATTAATTTCATAATATCTTCTACAAAAGCTTCTCAAAAGCTTCTTAGATGCTGTTTTGACTTTATATATGTTTAGAATTGATTAGTAGGTTAGAAACTTGGTCAATAAGCTATCCATGTACTACATGTATTAATAGCTTGCGAAACAAGTTAACTATGTGGGTGCCTATTTAAAAAATTTGCCTTGTAAATCAAGTTGTATATCATGTAAAGTCAACATATTTTTGAAGATCTTATAGAACATCGCTACATAGAACCTAGGTAGATAGTATATATAGAGGCAAGAGTGAAGCCTACTTCACTCTTGTCAACTCATTTTTTGCTTCTAGTTTAGATTCAAGAGTTTCTAATTTCTTTGTCTTTTGGTAATAGCAATTCCAATTTTCTTTTTATTATACATACTTTTCTATTTCTATTTCTTTGAAATATTCTCACATGTTTATTTGCTTTCATCAAATTCTTCTTTTTGACCGATTGGCAAGAGTGTACTTACAATATTAGAACTTTGTCTTTTTTTTGATAAAGAGTAGATTATCCTTTTTTCTTAATAAGACATAAGCATATTAGAAGTTACAAATTACCTTCTTTTAAACTAATATTATTCTTAGTATTTTTTTTATTCTCAAGTCTTTTCTTCTATTTATCTTGAGCAATATTAGACATTTTTTTTTCTAAGTGTTATCATAGCACAACTTCTGGAAAAGAAGAGTACAATGGCATAAATGCAATAGCAATTGAAAGAGTTGATGTTTGTAATGCATCAACTCAATTTATTACCATCAACAACAATAAAAATGACAAGAAGTAAAGATACACATATAATTGAAGCCGCTTCAACATCTACATTAAATCACATCTCTTTTCTTATAATAGAACATCATTTTAGTATTAGAAAAGCTAAAATTGCCTTATCTAAGAAATTTGATGGTAAATGATCTATACTTTGAGGATTTATCAATCAAGTACAACTTGTGATTGAACTTCAACTTCAAAACTATTCAATGCTAAGATCATAAGTAAGATTCATTGATAAATTGCTTTCAGGTTTGGAATTACCATTTTTTTTAGTCTTTTCTTGAATAAGAAGACTCAATATTAGATGATCTAGATGTATCAAGGACATGAATCTCAAAGAAAGAAAATCCTTAATACACTCATGTACCACTGAAAGGAACTAGAAAGTCACTCAAAGATGATATAATATTGAACTTGAATGGCTATTGTCAAAAACAAGAAGATTAGAAAGTCTTGAAACGAGACTAAGAACTAAAAAGGCGTTAACAAGAGTGAAAAGACTTCACTCTTGCCTCTATATATACTCTCTAAGTAGGAGCTACATGGCAATATTCTATAGGACTTCCAACATGTGCTGACTTTGCTAGCCATATATCTTAATTTATAAGACAAGTTATCTATGTATATGCCACATAGTTAGCTTATTTTATAAGCTACTATACAGAGTTAACTTGTTCTATAAGCTACTGTGATTGCTCGTTTTACTTATTCCGAAAGAAACCTCCGAGAATAAATCCATATAGGGGGATTCGAACACGGGGAATGACTAGTTGCTTAAGCGCTCACGTTAGGGTCACACAATTAATTACCTCCAATGTATCGTCACTATTTCCATTGTCTAAGCACATAGGAAAACGATAATCTCTCCTTTCACCTTATCAATCTCTTCCTTACAACAATTTAGTCATACCAATAACTGTTATTTCCACCAATATTTCTTCACTCTTATAACCTCCAACTGTAATACCGCAACATCACAGCTTCAGCACACAATTACCCTCATTCCAATTACTGGAATTCTTCACACAGAACTACCATTCACATTACAGTGTTTCACACAACCACAGATTCACTCTTTCTGCTGAACTACATTCAGATTTCAGCATTCAATCTCTCTTCTTCTCATTCAATAACATATAATTTCAATCACACTTCCATTCCATGATTCACTTCACAATATTCAGAAACTCTCAATACTCTTATTTCAAAGAACATAACAACAAAAGAAAAGAGGTAGTATCAAGCTTACCCCGGCTCACACTATCACAGTAATGGCAGTTTCTTCTTCTCTCTCATCCTCCTTATCCTACCACAAGATACCAACTGCTACATCTCTAATGAAAACTGCTTTTCCTAACTATTCATCCATTTTAACTACTGAACTACCTTTCTAACAGTCATCTATCATTGTTTACACTATAAAGTAAGTATCTACAAATCAGCAAATAACTACTTATTCTACATAGCCCCACTCCTAAATGTGCAGCGTCCTCGCAAACACCCAGTTCGAAATTGAACTGGTGTCTCCTTAGCAATTCCCATACTCATTGCTACTGATTACAATTCTGAAGTCACTTCTTTGTCTTCCCCGTCTGATACATTTATTGGTACTATGTTCAATTTGGCCGTTAAATCTTCATTAAGTGCCTCCAATTCACGGACTTGACTTTCCAATTGCAGAATTCGGGTGTCTTTCGCCTCTAATTGATATTGTTGTTGCTTCACCTTCTGTTCCAATTCGCCAATTGAACCTTCAATTGACCCTTGTGGCTGTCGAACACTGACCAATTCTTCCTCCAATTTCTTTGCATCCTCCTTCAGAGTGTTGATCTCCCCTTGCATTTCCTCTGTTTTCACTCTGAATTAGTCACTCATCGTCTTCTTTTCCTGTTCCAAAGTCGCCATCTTCGTCTGGTTCAATTCCAATTGTTGCTTCATTTTCTCAACTTCCAGTTTCGATTGATTGAGAGAATTGGAGAGTTCTTGTTTCTGATGCACCATTCCGTGGTGAAGGCGCTCTCTTTCCTTTTCCCACACTTGCTGTTTTACTCCAAGGACATGCTCCAGTCTCGAATTGGCTTCTTTGGTGGCCCTATTCACCCGATCTTGTTTCAACAGTTTTTGACGTTGTTCTGCCATTTCCCTCTTACACGCCACCAATTGCTGCTTAAAATTCGTGTGATCAACCAATTC